TGATTTATGGTGTCTCTGCACATTATTCACTGTTGGGTCAGCCATGATGAACACTGATAATATCCTGCTCAGGGCCTTGAGTTTCAAGCTCTGACATTGTGCTTCATCATTTTCCAGTCTGTGTGAAACATTGGTTGGTATCTGTTAAGCTCAAGACTGTGTTAGTAGTTATGACCTTTACTGATATTGATGTTTCTGTCACTTTAATGTTTCGATCTTTTTTGTGATTCATTAATATTGTGATTGACTAGTAACTACTTGCTCAATTTATTGGAATCTAATGTTGTCATATAGTTAGCATATATACCGTAAATAAGTACAAATTAAAATGTTATTCCAATGGTAGATGTGATATAGCTTAAAATATTGGTAAACAACGTTCAAGCCCAGGAAGTATCTGAAGACTACAACATTTGGGCTGTAAATCATGCTTGGAAATATTTTTGTTTTATTGCATTTGGAATGCCAAACGTGTGCAAACGATGCTAAAGCTTGCCTCAGAAATGGCTTCACTTTTCTGAGCCATTTTTGTGCATAGTCAAATAACTTGTGCTCATTTCAGTTATATGCTAGTTCCACTCAAGTTCACATACATGTCCAATGTGTATTTCAGGGAGTAGTTTGACAATCAGTTATATGTTTATAGTTTGAGTGATATGGCTTTTATAGCAGTGTGCTTTGTATCGACACTGGTGCCCCACCAGTGACGATATACAACCATGTTGCACTGCTACGGGTGTGATATTTTATTATATAAAAAAGAAAATCAAACATGGAGCATCTAAAAAATCTTTTGTATGAAGAACTACTTTTGTCCGCTATTCATTATCATTTGCAGCTGACGTCAGAAAAAGCTCAAACTGTTGCTAATTTATCAATGTCACTTTAGAGCTAGTATTTGAACGATTCTCTAGCGTAATATCTAAAGTGATGACAAAACAGGTGATTTTGCTGACATTTTAAGATTGTAAGGCTGAACGGCATGAAATGTCATTAGTACAGACATTTCCCAGTATTTCTCTGTTGCAATTGGGATATCACAGTAATTAACCCTAAAAAAAGCCAAAGCAAAGGAAACACCACCAGATTGCTATGGTATAAATACAGCACTACAATATACAAAAGAAAGATTGTCTTAAAATGTCACTTACCTGTTTTATAGTGATTTGATCTGCTGTAGTTTGAAATAACGCTGAGTCTTTCTCCTTTAAAGGCTTATTATGCGGCCTTTGTTGCCATCTTGTGGAGGAGTATCAACCATCTTTGCCCTGCTCAGTATGATAGGCTATGATCTTTAGATGCTCTATTGTTTATTTTGTGGCGTTAGTATTTAATTTAGCAAAATGTTGGGCCTGTAATCAGCTTTTAAAGTTTTATATTTCATTTAATATTTATTCTATATTTCTAAATTAGTTTTATCTATTGTTAGTAAACACAATTTATTTTATATTTCTATGTTAATTTTATATTTTATATTATATTTAATTTCATTCTTAGGTTCTATACCAAGTAATAAAAATGTTAAAAATAGTGGTATATATATATATATATATATTTTTTTTTTTAATAATGAATGAAATGACATCAGTCTACAGACATTTCCCAGTATTTCTCTGTTGCAATTGGTATATCACAATAATTACCTCTGAAAAAGCCAAAGCAAACACTACCAGATTACTATAGTATTAATACAGCCTACAACATACAAGACAGAGAGATCGACTTAGAATGTCATTTACCTGTTTAATAATAATTTGATCATCTGTAGTTTGAAATTATGCAGAGTTTCTCTCCTCTAAGGGCTTATTATGTGGTCTCTGTAGCCATCTTGTGGTGGAGCGTCAACCGTCTTTGCTTCTCAGTATGACAAGCTTATGGATGCAAACGCGTGAATCTTTGAAATTATATATTTTTAAAATTAGCACTATCCTCAAATAAACTGCATAGTTGCAATCTAAACAACTACATTATGTTGTTGAACAGCTGCAATATTTGGCAAACTATGAGTTTATTGATCTGCTGTCAATATATGTGGGCGGAGTATGGTGAGGACGGCCAATCACATGGTTATCAGCCAATCAGATTCGAGAACCAGACAGAACTGTTGTATATATATTAATCCCTCTATAGTCATATAACTTGAATATTTTTTTGGCATGAACCATTATTAGAAACTATCAACTCTAATCTTTCCTCGATTGTTTGACTGATTTAGATGTCTGATTTAGATGTTTGACTGATTTAAATGTCATTTTCTGCTTCCAAACATGATGAGCTAGACACATCTTCTCCATTCACATCCAAAAACGGAAGTCATCAGATGTAATCTTCAACATGGAATATGCTCCTTTGTTATATTCCGGAGCATCTGCATTAGTGACTGACTTCCTCTCAAACAATCTCACTGGCTGATCTTCTGAACAAAGTGTAATTGTGTCTTGTAGCGTCTGGTTCTGCTCCAGCGTCTCTCGCAGGGGTTGTTCCAGTGTTCGGTACAGTTCCAGCCAAAGATGTAACCTGTAGCACTGAGGAGGGTAAAACAATTATTTGGGGAGCTGTGTCACCCTTGAGAGGATCAAGTGTCCCTCTCATCTTAGGCAGCCGCCTTACAGTGTTAAGTGCCTGACTGCTCTTTCTCTGTAGCTTATTGTTAAAGAAAGAGAGGAGGACAGTGGGATGGAGCCTCTGGGTCTCTGAGCTCGGAATCATGGGTAGGCCGTTTGCCTTTATCGTGATTGATCATCTCTTCATTTGGTGTAATATTCACTTAATTTTCATGGTGCCTATTTTAGTGATCAACCGGCGCTTGATTTCTGGTTTGAAAAAGGGTGCTCAGCCCCACTGTATTAATTGATTATGGTTAAAATGCTTTTGTCCATAATTAAATGAAGGCTCAATCACACTAAAGAACGTAACAGTTTTTTTTTTCTAAAAGCTAAAAAAACTAAGTTTAAATTACAGTATATGGATAGAGATTTATAAGAAATTTCATTTTTGTTGGGTGTGTTTAGACTTTTGCTTTATTCTATTAAAATAAAGTCTGGTGCAAATGCTCAGTAAGTTCAGTTTGTTTACTTTATCGAAAAGTACTCAAAATCGACATTCAGAACCTATAATCAATCAAATTTTTCCAGGTTGATTTTTTTTTTTATTTATTATTATTACTCTGGTCAAGTAAGACAATGGACGTATTCTTGAGCCTTACTTTGCACTACATTGACGATGATTGGAAAGCCAGAGATACGGTGCGCAGCATAAATGAGTACACCCCATTTTGAAAATCAATATTTTTTATCCATTTTTCTGTGAAAATAGGCAATGTATTTTGGTGCATTTAAACAAAACCAATTTATTAAACAGATACATTTATTATAATATTGATTATTTTAGTCACCAAATATATTTAGAAATTGAAAGATAATACAATTAAATTTAAGCAAAATATGGCAAAAAAAAACTAAATTTCAGCTCAGTTTTTACTTTTTTTTTTTTTTTTTTTTGCTTCTCTTGATTTTTCCTCTTTAAAATTTGTGTTAAATACTTTTCTATAACATATAAATTTAGGTGTACTAGTTTTTGTACCGTTATCATAAGTTATTTTGTTAGATAAGCTCCAGATTTGGCTTCAGTAATTTCTAATCTAATGTATATGCATACAAATATCCAGACACATATCCACATTTGCGAGGTTTGACTTACTATACCTTAAGAAGACATATTTTCCATTATTTTAAAATTATTATTTACATTAAAATATTTGTTTACGGAAGAATGCACAGTTTAAAGTATTATTTACAGGATATTCAATAGTTTTTTTGTTTTTATTTAGAAGAGAGACTCTATATTTTCTACTTTTTAATATGAAAAAGCATTGAAAATAATTATTTTGTGTAAAAAAAGTTAAGTTATTTATTTTCACGTTTCTAATAGAAAAAAAGTGGCAATGTGTGTTTTAATGTTTAATTGTTCAACATTGATGTTCAATAAATAATTATAGATAGTGGATAGTTTTTGTTTCCTTCAATTATTTTAAAATCAAGAAATGCACCCTTCGTTCAGAAATCTCTCACTTGTAATATGTAAGCATATTTACTTTACAAAACTTGTCAGTGAACTATGAGGGCAAAAAAAATTAAAATAAAATAAATAAAATAATCGGTTATTAATCATGATCAAGTTTTTTTTTTTATCTGATTGTAGGACAAATCACCCAACTCTACATCTGAACCTTTATGCACTCTAATAAACAAGCAGACTGAGACTCTTAAAATGATGCATCTGTTTCCAAATGAACTGTGGTGCAGTTTGAGTGAATCACAAATGCAACAAAGGCCAAAGTCATCCAGATTAATTATAAACTGGACCTGATGTCATGTGATTCCACCCTAAAAAAAAACAATATTACATGTATACCAAACATATCTGTTGTCTGTTCTAGTTCAGTACGCATGTCAAATTACGACACAAGCTCATTCACTAACTGTTTTATATCTCATTTGGTTTTTTGCGCTCTTTTTAAAGATATATATATATATATATATATATATATATATATATATATATATATTTAGTTAGTTAGTTAGTTAGTTAGTTAGTTAGTTTGATAATTTTAGTTAGTTTGATAATTTTAGTTAGTTAGTTAATTTTATTTGAGTTCTTGTTGTGTTTTAGTGTTGGCGATATGTAAAAATCAAATCACTGTAATCAAAATGAAATTCAGAAATGTGATTAGTTTCATTATTAAAGTAATTAAATTAATTCAATTAGTTAAATTGCTAATTACATTTTAGTTAACTTGTAATGTGTCATCTAATTTGCCATATTCTATTGTATTATTAATGAAAATCTAAGAAAAATCTGACCTTAAACAGTCAACACTCTTTTACATCCCCACAGCGCAGTAAAATTAAATGATATATTGGCCCTTTAAAGTTTTTTCATTGTATTCTGTGCAAGATTGTATTCCTCAGTCTACAGTATCTCTTTTTGTTGTCTTCCAGAACTCCAGTGTCTCTCAAAAATGGGCCATTTCTTCTCATCCGAACAGAACTTCTTCAAAGCAGTCGGTCCGTGGCTTTGTGGTGGTGGATGAGTCTGAGCGCCTCGCGTCTCCTGTCGTAAGCACACATAGCAGGTTTAAGGACACCAAGGACAAAAAGATCCAGTCCACCACCTTCAAATCATCAGAGACTTTCACAACTCAAAAACTGAAAGCTGATTTGAGTAAAGGTCGTCTGGAGCAGCACCATTTGAAGCCGTCTGGGGACATCTCTGAGCTGGATTCTAGCTTAAATGTAAAGACGTCAGCTGGTCAGAAGGATCTGCTCAGGCCCACAGTCCATCCCGAGTTAAACCAGTTGACTGAAGAAGGTTTCTTACTTTCCTCACAGAGCATCTCTGGGTACTCTAGTCAAGTAGTTAAACAGCCTTCGGTCGATGTTTCCTCACAAAAAGGATATGAAATGCTTATAGGCACTGTAAGAGCTGACAACAAGTTTTCAAGAGTTATCCGTAAACATGGAGATGTTATATTAGGCAAGGATGGAAGAAGATACAGACTTCTCAGTGGACCTCCAGGGCCTGTTGGACCACCAGGGAAAAGAGTGAGTTACTAAAATCCTGATGAAATTGGGGGAAATCACATGCTCAGGGCGCCGCCTAAAATGTTTAAGTGATTTGCTTACTGTAGTATATCCTAAATTGGAATCTGAACCCCAAAAAAGTTGAATGAACAGATTAAACTTGTTTAAATGCATGTGATCACTTCTGTCTTGCTCATAGTAGACATATCCTTAGGGTTATTATAATTCTTTTATTGTTTTACTTGTTAATCCCCTTAAAAAATAGTCTATTAGAATGCTCAAAAGTCTAGCCTGAGCGACAGTGAAGTTCTCTGTGGTTATGAAGAATAACTGAGACACAAAGTGGGAACAATTGCATTTGTAAGAAACGAGAACATGAATCTGATATGAGAAAAATTTTAGTTAAACGGTTTCATTTTTGAGTGGACTGAATGTGGTTACATACAGTATTCAGGAATTGAGTTAAATGAAGAAGATTGAAACATTTACTGTTTTCAATTATCATTTTTCTTGGATTTTTATTAAACAACTACTAATATGACAAATTAAATGACAAATGACAAGTTGACAATGTAATTAGCAATGTAACTAACTCAATTACTTCAATTACTTTATTAATGAAACTAATTTGATGTTGGATAGAAAAAACTATAATTGAAAACGCTAAATGTTTCATTCATAATTCAACTCAATTTAACTCAATACTGAATGTTACCACTTTCAGTCCACTCTTAACTGAAACTTTAATCTTTCTCATATCAGATTCACGTTCTTTTGTTTCCTCCAAGAAAAACGACAATTGAAAACAGTAAATTTGTCATTTATAATTGAAACAAGAAAGTAAGAGAACATTAATCTGATTCGTGACAGATTAAAATTCAATTACTTTAATTACTTTAATAATGAAACTAATTAGTAGATGTTTAATAGAAATTCAAGAAAAGCGATAATTGAAAACAGTAAGTGTTTTATTCAGAATTAAAACGAGAATGTGTATCTGATATGAGATGACTGAATGTGGTTAGATATTCAGAATTGAGTTTAATTTTTATTTGAATTATGAATAAAAAACATTTGCTGTTTTCAACTATTGTTTTTCTTGGATTTCAATCAAATATCTATTAATATGACAAAAAAGATGACAAATGAAAAGTTATCTAATTGTAATTAGCAATGTAACTAATACAATTACTTCAATTACTTTAGTAAAGAAACTTAGTAGATGTTTGATAGAAATCCAAGAAAAACGATAATTGAAAACGATAAATATTTCATTCGTAACTGATACAAGGAAACAAGTGAACGTAAATCTGATATGAGATATATTAAAATTCAAATACTTTAATCAAATTAATAATGAAACTATTTAGTAGATGTTTGATAAAAATCCAAGAAAAAAGATAATTGAAAACGGTAGTTTTCGTTCATAATTCAATTCAATTTTATTAAATTCTGAATATTGTAACCACATTCAGTCCACTCATAACTGAAACTGTTCAACCTAAATCATATCAGATTCACATTCTCTTGTTTCTCGTTTCAATTATAAATGTAATATTATATTTACCATTTCAATTGTCATTTTTCATAGAAGAAACAAGAGAATGTGAATCTGATATGAGATGGATTAAAGTTAAAGTTTAAAATTTTTTTTAAAGTTTTAGATTAAAGTTTTAGTTATGAGTGGACTTTACATATTCAGAACTGAATTAAACTGAATAAAATTCTAAATGATTGACCTTTTTAATTATTTTTCTTGGATTTCTATCAAACAACTACTTTAAAGCCATAGAATTTTAATGAGCGGGAATAATAAAACCTAATGCAACATTGCTATGAACAAAATGATTTTATATAGCATGTAATATCTAGCTGTTATATGTCTCAATTGACCAGTCTGAATCTTTCGAATGTTTCAGCATGCACAATGGTCAAAAATGTCCATTGTTTAATTGTAATAGTGTAATAAAGTAGAAAGCCTAGTAGCATGAATGTTACTTCCAAACCAAACCAAAGCATTATTTTGTTGGTTAATGTGGTGAATTTTGAATGAAATGTTTCACTCTTACGCATAATTAATGTTTCCATGGATTATTCAGAGGACTACTTTATGCACATGTCATTTTAATGAGTAATGATAAATCTAACCACACCTTGACCAATCAGAACAAAGTATTCTAGAAGTGTTGACGATGAAGTGACAGCTAAAACAAGTACATTACTATGTATTCAAAAGATGTAATTACTTTGATAGTAGTTAGGCGTTTTATTCCATGCCTGTTTATTGGAACTGTAAGCCTCTGCAGTCTGCAAAATGGCCAGTGTTTGTTTTCTGAGCTGGAACATGACCGTCACAAACTAAAGTTGCATTAAATTGCTAGTCTGAAAACCGATTCTTAAACTTGCTTCATGTTCAAACCTATTTTAGTCCTATTTTGGAACGCATAGTTGCTTGAAAGCTGAATGTTATATAATCTTTTCATCTTTTAATGAAGTTCAGAGGAGTACATCTTTAATCATACATTACTACCTCTGCCCATTTCTAAATTATGGCCTTCATGAATGAATCCAAAATATCAGGCCTGCAGTAATAAATGTGCACTTTGCATATGGTTTGGGGTCTGGCAGCGCAGCACTGTGCGAATTGGCATGTCTGAGAGTGTCACATTACGTAATATACATAAGATTAAAAAGGCATGAGCCTATAAATATTAATTTGCTCATAAGTCTAATGGATTCACCAAGTCATTTGCTTCATGATTTCCATGAATCTATTTGGACATGTAAAGAAATCCTCTGTAAACTTGATGGTTGATGACAGCGTTTTCACACTTTTTTCTGTGGCCCCATAATGTTGCATCAAATGTACTGTGCGACTCTGTTCAAGATTGCTCTTGTTGTTTACACAGGGTTGTGCAGGTAATAGAGGATATATTGGATACAAGGGTGATAAGGTGAGGAAGAACATTGCATAAATACAACTCATTGTAGCCCTCTGTGAAGATGACACTTACATGTACTCGTATGTCCTGACAGGGATCTCAAGGTGTCCAGGGAATGGATGGGCTAAGAGGCATACAAGGACCTCCAGGGCCTCCGGGACTCCCAGCCTTGTACCTTTGGAGGAACACAGATGAGGATTGGGCTGCATTCAGGGTAGGCCTAAGCACACTAAATATTTTATGTGCCCCATTATTTTATGTTACTTAAGCAAAGGTTTACATGCATTCAAGGCAACAAAAATCTTTCTCATAACATATTTAGCATCACTAAATCAACGTCAAATCAAGTCAAAAATGATTCGTTCTAAGATCCTGTCTTTTAAAACCTGTATTCCCAAAGCCATACTTTGATCTGATTGGTTGGTTTGCCCTAACTTTTCAACATGTATATTAAAACACTATACTGGTATTTACATTTATATGCATGTTCTGATATCAATAGCATGTATAGAAATACAAATACATGCAACAAATTCTTTCCGCTGTGGTGACCCCAGATTAATAAAGGGACTAAGCTGAAAAGAAAATGAATGAATGAATAAAGGATTAGTTCACCCTAAAAATGATAATACTGTTTCTTACCCTCATGTCGTTCCAATCCATACTCTAAATTTATTCATCTTTAGAGCAGAAGTTAAAATATTTTAGATGAAATCTGAGAACAAGGGTCCCGAGATGTTCAAAGGCCAGAAAGAGAACCAATATCATTGTCAAAACATTCCATATGACTTGAGTCCACTGTAATCATACAAAGCTCTGAGAGCATGTTTTAAAACTATTTTAACTATTTAAAGCTCAGATATCGGAAGGAGTTATGTTAACTAATTTATATGTGTTCAGTTGACTCAATCTTTTAAACCAAGAAAACATTGAAATTTTCAGTTTTTCAACAAGTTCAATCCAGATAGGTTATCTTAACTTAAAATTTAAAACTAATTGGTGCAATAATTTTTACAGTGAGACTAAATGTCTCTTACCAAATCCCTTACCAATGATGTTTTAACTCCTGGGGGTTCTTCAGCTCTTATCAGTCATACTCTTATTAGAACGGTAAATGCTGGTGTTGATTATATCATATCACTTCAAGTCCAAGTCTGATGAGGAAGTATTGAAATGGCTCGTTAATTAATCTGAGCATTTATTGCATGCACAACTTGACCAGGACGTTTCTCGTTGGTAGGTTTAGTGGTTGAGTTTAGGAACATAATCAGATACATTTAGATTAGACACCACTGAAAATGTCATCATTGATTATAACAGGTGATGCTGTGGCACAGTAGGTAGTGCTGTCGCCTTATAGCAAGAAGGTCACTGGTTCGAGCCTCGGCTGGGTCAGTTGGTGTTTCTGTGTGGAGTTTGCTTGTTCTCTCCACGTCCATGATCTCGTGGGTGTCCTTCGGGTGCTCCGGTTTCCCCCACAGTCCCAAGATATGTGGTACAGGTGAATTGGGTAGGCCTAATTGTCTGTAGTGTATGAGTTTGAATGAGTGTGTATGGATGCTTCCCAGAGATGGGTTGCAGCTGGAAGGGCATCCGCTGCGTAAAACATGTGCTGGATAAGTTGGTGGTTCATTCTACTGTGGCGACCTTGGATTAATAAAGGGACTAAGTCGTAAAGAAAATGAATGAATCAATTGATTATAACATGAAGTTATTGATTATTCTGGATTGCTAATGGTTCTTTTTGGCAGCTCACAATCATTTCATTCTTTTAGATGCCAGTAACTTCATTTGTCTTGCATTCTGGTCTTTAAAGTGTGCATGAAATCAAAATTTAAACTGTTAATTTTGCTAGAGCACATTGTTAAGACATTGTCTTAAAATAAACAATCTGTGCAAATTAATCCACTTAAATAAATATGCTGATTGTTTTGGCAATATTTATTTCAAATCTGACCATATGCATCTGCTCTGTAATGGGAGTCAGTCCTTCTCTGATGACGTCACTTTAACAACTTAATACGCCATGCATACTAAAACTCCGCCCCCTAATCAATATTCAGTATTAGTTGGAAATACATCATTCATTCATTCATTTTCTTGTCGGCTTAGTCCTTTTATTAATGCGGGGTTGCCACAGCGTAATGAACCGCAAACTTATCAGCACGTTTTTACGCAGTGGATGACCTTCTAGTTGCAACCTATCTCTGGGAAACATCCACACACACACACATATACACACACACTCATACACTATGGACAATTTAGCCTACCCAATTCACCTGTACCAAATTTTGGACTGTGAGGGAAACTAAAGCACCCGAAGGAAACCCACGCGAACGCAGGGAGAACATGCAAACTCCACACAGAAACGCCAACTGAGCTAAGGCTCGAACCAGCGACCTTCTTGCTGTGAGGCGACAGCACTACCTACTGCGACACTGCGTCGCAGGAAATACATCATACAGAAAAAAAAAGTCTGTAACTTCTGGTTTTCTGTTTGTAGTATTGAAAATGATCCATGCACCCCAATTTAAAAGATGGCACTAAAAGTCTTAAGGTTGAATTATAACTATTTAGTTTAATCTGGATAAATGACATCATCCTCCTCATCCAAAGTTGGACAAATCAACTAAGCCACCGCCCTGTCTTTTTCAAGGCTTCTGGACGACCCAGTCTTTGCGTCTCTGCCAGACCCCTGTGTTCTATTTATTTGTGATCTATTTTTGAGCATATGCTTAAGTGTAATTGTAAAACCGCAGGTCTGACCTCCCGGTAGATTCTCATAATTCAAAACAGTTGTGAATATCTGCTTGTATTTGCTCGTGGCCACTTGCCATTTTTTGATGTTTCTTTTGTCCAAATGTTGTTCTTCCTCATCATTTGGCAGAATCCTTGAACATGATTGATGAGTTTAGTCCTAAAAGAGAAGTCATGTGTATATTGAGCCATGGGTGGTAGGTGAAGGAGTCGTGCATTTCTGAAACAGCAAAGCTTTATAATACAGTGTTAGACATTTAGTATTGATTTTTTTTTTTTTTTTCTCACCCATAAGTCTAAAGAGGATCATAAAGTGTAAACAAAAGTCATTGCTGTATGGGAATTCTGGTCATACTTTATAATAAGGTTTTTGTAGTTGATGTTAGTTAATATATAACATGAATTAAGAATGAACAATACTTCTGCAGCTTTTTTTAATCATAGTTCAACATTTGCTAATCATTACTGAAATCCAAAGTTGTGCTTATTAGCATTAGATAATGCACAAAAACTAACCATAAATGATATTTTCATTAACAACAATTTAGAAATAGTGTAATAAATGTATTGTTTGTTGTTTTGTTCATTTTAGTAAACACACTGACTAACATAAACTAATGTAATTTTATTTTAAAGTGCTACCAGACTTTTTCTTTTACCCCACTTTATTGTAGAAGTTAAATTTTGGTAGTGCTTCAACATATGAGGTCAGCTTTTATAAGGTGTATTGTATAATTTGGCTATTGATTTTGGAAAGTCTGGTTCGTTTGTAAAAATTTTTTTATCAAAAATGACTAGCACAATTTTTCCATATAAATCTTCACTATATGATGGCATGTTTTAATAAGGTAAAGATGTTTGAATATTTGTCCTTCAAGGATTATAGTGATGCCATTATTTTAAAATAATTTCTTATTGAAAGGTTATTCATTTATTTGCATTTAGTTGTACAAAATTTTCACCATTCTCCTGTTTCAGGGTCATTTTAAAGAAACAACCACTTTTGGTATAACAAATATCTTAACTTTTCTTTTCAAACTTATTCCTTATACCACATTATTTACTTGTCTTATATAAAACACAAGAAAAAATCTGTCTGTCTCTGTCCGTCCGTCCGACCAGCTGTCTATCAGTCCGTCTCTCCATCCGTCCGTCCATCCATCTATCTGTATGTCTGTCTGTCTATCAGTCTGCCTTCTGCCTGCCTATCTGCCTGCCTGTTTGTCTGTCTATCAGTCTGCCTATCTGCCTGCCTGCCTGTATATCTATCTGCCTGCCTGTCTGTCTGTCTGTCTATCTATCAGTCTGCCTATCTGCCTGCCTGCCTGTATATCTATCTGCCTGTCTGTCTGTCTATCAGTCTGTCTATCTGCCTGCCTGCCTGTATATCTATCTGCCTGTCTGTCTGTCTGTCTGTCTATCAGTCTGTCTATCTGCCTGCCTGCCTGTCTATCTGCCTGCCTGCCTGTCTGTCTGTCTGTCTGTCTGTCTGTGCTTTTATTTATTTATTTATTTATGCTCTTTAGCAACTGTATTTTTTTTCCTATTTTTAACTGGTTTTGTCGATGAAATGAAGTAGTATATTATCATAGTGTTATTAAATAACAGTAGAAAAAGTTGAAAACAAACTTCCCGTATTTTTATTGTTAATTTGTTTTACGTCTAGATTTTATTTGTCATAGAAAAATGTAGTTTCAGACTATAAAATGTTAATAAAAGTCATTTTGTTAAACTGCACAGCTGGATTTTCAAGACCAAAAGTTGACAGAGCACATATCAATATCCCATAATGCAATTCAAATCATCTGCAAAATAAATGGCAATAACAAACTGTAAATCACAAAATATGGAACCTGTAAATGAACAGATATTTTTTTGGCTCTCCATACATGAAGTTGTGCTTTGCTTATAATAGTATATTCTACAGTAATTAAAAGCAATTATTGCTCCATTGATGACTCAAAAAGGTATAATTGTTCAAAAAACATACTGTTCATCTTAAAAAAATTGTAGACCTAGAACTTTTTTTTTTTTTTTTTTAAAGGTGTAATGTTTCTTTTAGGGCTAGCGACAAAAAAAAGACATTTCTCTAGAATGGCCCTTCAACTGTTTTATAAGTTTGTCCATTATGTCTTGTTTAGTTTTATATACAACACATTCATCTTACATGCATTGTTTGTTTCGGTGGTGTTTTGCCATTTACCCACTCTGCATAATGATAGCAGTGTCTTGAGGGGGTTTTGACAGATGTTTAGATGTTTCAGTGAGACATGGGAGAATCAAGTGCTCTGGGAGGTCCGATTCCCTAGCTTCTCTCAAACTCACCTTCACTGGACCAGCAGAGAGAGGCAGACGAACCCCTGCCCCGGTGCCAAGTTGAGCATATGCCAAGACAAATGTTGAATAAAGCGGAGGCGGCCTGGGTGATTTAATAACAGTGCGACAGAGACTGTGTGTCTATGTGGGTTCCAGGCTTTTCCAGCCCACACAGCAGAGACAGCGTACACTGTCCCTCAGTTCTGTTCCTCTGTTTGAACAGGAGAGACGCCTTTCAGCACTCCCTGGCTTGTGTTTCTCCTTCAGATGAATTGAAACATACAGGCATTAAGTGTTTGAGATTGAGATTTTTTTTGGAGAGTTAGAGAGTTTATCGTTCTTGGTAATAGTTGGGTTGAGTACTTATCATCACTTTTTGCATGCAGTCTCTAATGTGTTTATTCATATGATGTCTAAAACTGCTTCCTTGTTTGCTCATTTACTATTCAGTATATTACGAATGTTTGAGCGTGAAAGAGTAAACTGAGATAAATAAAATGGTATTATAAATAAATACATGTATTATACATATATAGGTGGTGAAAATGAGTATTCAAAAATAAAAATTAAATATTTTCTTTTTTTTTTACTTTTTTTTTATTATTTTACTTTTAATTTTTATTTATTTTACAGAAGGCACCAATGAAATTGTCATTCAGTGTAACATTACATATACAGTTGAAGTCAGAATTATTAGTCCCCCTGAATTATTAGCCCCCCCTGTTTATTTTTTCCCCAAGTTTTTGTTTAACGGAGAGATTTTTTTAACACATTTCTAAACATAATAGTTTTAATAACTCATTTATTTTCTCTGTCATGATGACAGTAAATAATATTTGACTAGATATTTTTCAAGACACTTTTATACAGCTGACATTTAACTTTTATACAGTGACATTTAAAGGCTTAACTAGGTTAATTAGGTTAACTAGGCAGGTTAGGGAATTAGGCAAGTTATTGTATAATGATGGTTTGTTCTGTAGATTATGGAAAAAAATAGCTTAAAAGGGCTAATAATTTTGACCTTAAATGGTTTTTAAAAAATTAAAGAAGTTTTTATTTTAGCCGAAATAAAACAAATAAGACTTTCTTCAGAGGAAAAAATATTATCAGACATACTGTGAAAATGTCCTTGCTCTGTTAAACATCATTTGGGAAATGTTTAAAATAGAAAAAAAAAAATCAAAGGCAGGCTAATAATTCTGACTTCAACTCTCTCTCTATACATATATTTTAGGCATATTTAGAACAAGTATCATTTAATGTAATTAAAACACTCAAAAAATAAACTAAATACTACGCAGACCCGGAAGGAATGTGATGGTGGGGAAAAATAGGTGGTAAAAAAATTGGGTGGAAGAAAAAAAAATTTGCATTCGTCGGTTAGTGCTTTTAAATACATTCGCTGATTCAGAGGTTGCATAGGAAGGGCGACAATCGACGCACAGCTTTGATGGAAAGAAAGTGGATACAGACATTTTCATATTAATTTCAGCATGCTTACAAATATTAAAAACATATGAGAAATATGGGAAAATACTTAATGATAGGATGATAGTGGCATAGTGTCACACAACCAGCGATCGCTTTCCAGGATCGCTGGTTTTCACACGAACTCTCTAAACTACATTTCCGCTTTTCCCAGGACTACATTTTCATACATGCACTGCTCCCAAACACGCACGTCTGTTCAGTCATCTATCCTGATTGCAAACACCAGCTGGACCCTGTTCACAGACTGATTTCACTCCATTCATAAGCCACTCTCTCACGCTACCAATTTGCAGAGTCTTGTTTGCTTCCTAGTAACATTACAACGCGTTTCCCTGTCTTGTTTCTCCGTGTCTCGATCCTAGCCTTGTACCTTTGTTATCCTGTTTAGCCGCCTGCCTTTAGACCTATTGCCTGTTATATTGACGACGATTCTGGACTGCCTTAACATACCCGTTTGCACCTGATTTGACCATTGCTTGCCTGACATTGAATAAACTGCATATTGGATCTTACCTCCTGTTGTCTCCTGTCACTCCACCCCAGTCGTGGTAACACATAGAATGGTAAATATGGGAGGGTAGACTTATATGAAGTGAACAGAAAGTGTTTGTGGAAAAACAGTTTTGTGAGGGAACGCAAACATTTTAAAAAATATGTTTTTTTTTTATCACTCCTATTTTTTCCCCCCATCATCACATCCCTTCCGGGTCTCCGTAAAATACAACTAAATTGTCTTTTAAAGTGTTAATAATTTGCCTCCATCTTAATTTCATCCGTTTGTGAGCAATGTATTTATAATTATTTCAAATAATATTTGAAATTAATATTTTAAGAAGTACGGGTCAAAATAAGTATGTTTTTTTACACTGTATGATGAAGGCTTATTATTTCAATTGTATTTTAACATGTTCTTTTCAGTTTAGATTGACAAATGTTTAACACATATACACAGTAGTAGTTGTGTGAATTGTAGAACTTTAAAGTCCCCATGAACCGGAAGGTGCGACCGTTATTTTTATTCATTTTGTCACGCAGTTCCTACAGAAACAGAATATTAAATGACACAACCGTGTGCGTGGCTTGTTGTTTCTACAGCGAGTTGAATGTATGTATAGACATTTCATTCAGAAAGATGGGGAAAAAGGTTTATGATGAGAGTTATTACAACCTAACAGACTCCTCCTGCTCACCATTTCTGTTTGTTGTCAAAACTGACAGCTGGAGGGGAGTGGTTAAGTATGCTAGCCACGCCCAATTCCTAAAATATACTTAATCTGACAAATTAACTGGAAAAAAAGGAAGTGCATTTTCAGATTTCAATTAAAGATTTGTATGGTAAACTTTTTTTTTTCTTAATGACCTGCTCAGATGAATTGTTCAGCATAAAACTAGCAATGCGAGTTAACAAAATCATATGGTTAGTTTTGATTTCTTGGGGACTCTAATGTAATTAATTTCAGTTATTATTTTAGTTGGTAATTGTCAATGCTCTATTTCTCACTTTAGATTTGCATCCATTTTGAAACATTCAAATTATTGTAAATTATAAAGTACTTAATCATGATCTCAACCTAACTTAAGCCATTGTTTACTAGCACAATCAACTTTAAAACATACAGAAAGTCGTTTATCATCTGTCATCATCCAAAAATAAACAAATATAAATTTAAGTACTAAAATAAATTAAAAAATTAATACGTGTTTGTGTTTGTGTTTGTGTGTTTGTGTGTGTGTGTGTGTGTGTGTGTGTGTGTGTGTGTATATATATATATATGTGTATATATATATATATATATATATATATATATATATATATATATATATATATATATATATATATATATATATATATATATATATATATATAACTACAAAATGCATACAAATACAATTTTATTGTGGATTTATTTTATTAAAGTTTTATTTTCATGTGCACATATTTGTACTATTTAAAGCTCAGATGATTAAATCAGAGGGGTGACACAACGGCTCAGTGTTTGCGCTGTCGCCCCACAGCAAGAAGGTAGCTGATTCGAGTCCCGGGCCTGGCTGGGTCAGTTGGCCTTTCTTTGTGGAGTTTGCATGTTCTTCCTGTGTTGGCGTGGGTTTCCTCTGGGTGCTCCAGTTTCCCTTACAATCAAAAGACATGTGGTGAATTGAATAAGCTAAAGTGGCTATAGTGTATGTGTGTGTATGGATGTTTTCCAGTACTGGGCTGCAGCTGGAAGGGAATCCGCTGTGTAACACATATGCTGGATAAGTTGGTAGTTCATTCCACTGTGGACTAAGCTGAAGGAAACTGAATGAATGAATGTTTGAAGCAGTTAACTAATATATATGAGTTCAGCTGACTTTAAAAATCTAATAAGTTCAGCCAAGTAAAACTTTGATATATAAGCTGTCAGCACATTTTATCAAGATAAGTTTACTTAACACAAAATATTAGGTTATTATAACTAATTGGTGCAATAGAGTGGACATATTTGGTGTTAACAAAACAACTGTTAAAGGCTTTCCTTTTAGCTTTAGGTATGGTTAGGTATGTGCAAACATTCAAACTGTGTTTACAGCTATTTTTTTCTTCTTTGTTTCACAGAGGACACCTTATTACCAGTTGCTGGCTGCTGGGTGGCCTGTAAGTGTTTGAAATAATAATAAATAAATAAATAAAACATCATTATATAATATAAAGATGTCAAGTGTTCTCTCTCACTAAACCATGTCCTCCTGTTGTCCTGCAGAGAGAGACTGGACAACCTGGACCAATGGGAGAGACAGGGAGACCTGGTTTACCTGTGAGTCTACTGGACATAATCCAAAACACATACAGTGAAGGTTTTTATAATGACCACCAACTACCACACCATAGTCCTGTTTACTCTAAGAGTGACAATTATTTAAAGAAAAGTTAATCAAATTAGAGTATGTGTCTCTGTAATATGTCATTGTACACAGCCTGTAGTGAATTTGTTGTAATTCTGAAGGGTTTACCTGGAGACCCAGGCCAGTCAGGACCACCAGGACGGAGAGGTGATATGGTAACTATTCCCACAATATTCATACTATAGTATAGTACATCATCTCTGCTTGCAAATATACGGTATATAGAAACATTTATAGGCATCACAGTTGCGCAATGGATAGCACGATCGCCTCACAGCAAGAAGGTCGCTGGTTCGAGCCTCGGCTGGGTCAGTTGACATTTCTGAGTGGAGTTTGCATGTTCTACCCATGTTCGCGTGGGTTTCCTCCAGGTGCTTCGGTTTCCCCATAGTTCAAAGATGTGGTAGAGCTGAACTGGGTAAGCTAAATTGTCCGTATTGTATGAGTGTGAATGAGTGTGTATGGATGTTTCCCAGTGATGGGTTGCAGCTGGAAGGGCATCCGCTGCCTAAAACATATGCTGGATAAGTTGGCGGTTCATTCCACTGTGACGACCCCAGATTGGTAAAGGGACTAAGCCGAAAAGAAAATGAATGAATGAATGAATGTTCTAAATACTGTACATGTGCAAACCATTAAATGTTACTTTAGCTTTATGCAAAGCACTTACAGGGTTTAGTTACCAGCATTCACTTTACAATAGGGTGGCATGGGACCAAAGGGTGTTCGAGGCCGTGCAGGGACTCAAGGAAGAGATGGACGGAAAGGTCTGGATGGCATAAGAGGATCTCCAGGGATTCCTGGCTTACAGGTGAAAGCACAGTAGCTTTTGTAGTAGCTGTAATAGTTCAGGTTAGGACACAAGTGGGGATATATTAATGCCTTTGCGTAGATTCTGTAAAGCTATATATTGTGGCTGTGGAACATATGTACCTGCAGAAAACCATATGCTTTTTTTATTTCTGGTTGTGGCTCCAGGGTCCTCGTGGTTACAAAGGTGACACAGCTCCCCCTGGTGAAAAAGGAGAGGAGGTACAATATGGGATTACATTATATTCCAAAATGTATTCTTAAATGTTAATGTCAGGATTTTATTAATACTAATATCCTTTTGAATGTAACCATGAGCAGGGTTTCCTTGGTGCTCCTGGGCCAAGAGGGGATAAAGGACAGACTGGCCAAAAGGTAGGGTAAACTAATTCATAATCTATTATTCATAATGTTGTTAATGTATATATTATGCTATAGACTGTACTGCTTGTGCTTATACTCTATGCGGAAAGTCACATGTGCTGCCCCCTAGTGGATCAGGCTGGCAAATTCTTGGAAAAAAACATTATTTACACTCAATGGCCACTTTATTGGGTACACCTTTTTAGTACTGGTTCGAACCCACTTTTGCTTTACGAACTGCCTTAATTAGGCTTAAATTCTGAATGATGGTAGAGATTTCTATATATTATACCATATATTCCCGTGCTATGAATATCCTACAACTATCTAATGGTGCTCTGTCGGACTGAGATTTGATGACTGGAGGCTAATGATTATAGTGGACTGACCTTCTTGTTTAAGAAACCAATTTGAGGTTATTTGAGCTTGCTGTATTATTCTTATGTAATTAGCCATCTCAAGATGTGGTACTGGCCATGAAGGGATGGACATTGCCAGCTACAGTATACTGGTACTGTAGATTGTGGCGTTTTAATGATGCTCAGTTTGTACTAAGGGGACAAAAATGTGCCCCATAATACCTCTCACACTATTACATCAGCAGCATCCAGGACTGCTGATTCAAGAGAGACTGGACCCATGCTTTCATGTTGTTAATGCCAATTTCTGACCCTACTCTCTGAATGTTGCCTTAGGCTGCATTCCCACTGCAGATCTTAATGATCAGTTTAGAATTTTTTTATGCAATCTATTTTTATGACCCACTTACATCTTTTAAAAGTGGCTTGTATTTGATATCTGCATCTTTAATTCAAAGACACATTGACCTGGAAAAAAAGTTGACAGCTGTGATCATAAAAGTGCACTCCTTTTTTTCATTCCCATATTTAATCTGTTTGCTGGTTTGTTTTTTAACATGTGTATGCATGTATATGTAATTCTGTGAGCACTGTGTTATGTCTCTCTCTCTTTACACTGCTGTCAAGCATATTTTTCAACAAGTTCATCTTTCTTTTTCGCTCTTTCTCTAATCCGAGTATATAAAAAGTTCAGATGCAAACGCCTGTAAGTGCCATCTCAAGTTTCATGAGCGTTTTACTCAGCCTTTTGTATTTAGGTTCAGTAATTTCAGTTTTATGGCAAAGATTTTTTTTTTCATCGCCTTTAGTAAAATACCAGAAAAATACTTATTTTAGTGAAAAATATCAGATGGCACTTAAAGTCTTTTGCATTTCGGAATGCAAAATATTACAATCTATGTGACTTTTATTAATTTTGCTTTACCACATGAGAGTACAAATTTGAATTGGTAACTTCAACCATATTGTTAAATGTGCCCTTAAAGTGTCTTAGTCTTATCAGTCAACTTTTTTTAATCTCCTTGTCCAGTTTTGGTAAGTCAGTGTGGATTGTAGCCTCATTTTGTTGTTCTAAGCTAAGAAGAGTGTCACTGGTGTGCTTATCTTCTGATGTTGCAGCTTATCTTCCTCAAGGTTTGAATTGTTGTGTGTTCAGAGATGCCCTGCTGCAGACCTTGGTTGTATCGAGTGGTTATTTGAATTACTTTTAGGTTTGTTTTTATCAGCTTCCTTTGAACCAGTCAGATTCTCGTCTGACCTCTTGAATCAGTAAGGAAATTTTACACACAAAACTGCTATTTATTTTATGTATATTTGTTTTTTATACAATTCTCTGTAAACCGCTGAGATGAGATAATGCCAGCAGTTCAGCATTTGCTGAAATACTAAAATATCAACAAATATGCCATGTTCAAAGTCATTTAAACAACATTTCCCACAATTTTGTCATTTCAGCAGATCCTCTTGACCACATATGCATTTCTAAGTGCAATGAGATTCTGCCATGTGATCGTCCGATTAGATATTTGAATTATGTGCAGTTGATTAGATGTACCTAATAAAGTGACCAGTGTTTGAGTACTGTGCTGATTGCTATTACTTCACTTTATATTTTAAATATTACTGTTGAAAATGTGTTGTTGGTTACAGTTTTGTTGTTTTGCCCTTTTTTTTGATCATTTAAAGGGATCAAAGGGAGAAATGGGGTTTACTGGGTTTTCTGGGCCTCCAGTGAGTATCCTTTCTTACACATTCCTGTTCAAAATGGTGTGGAAGATCAACGTTAATACATTTTAGTTAATTATCATTATTTTTTTTTAGGGATTTGTTGGTTTACAAGGTGTTGAAGGAATTCCAGGGCAACCTGGTCCTAAGGCGAGTTCTTGTTTTATAACATTCGTAAACCCCCAACCTGCAGGTATTAATAATTTGAGTGTGAAAATTTGTAATATTATAGGGGGATCCTGGACATGATGGAAAGCGTGGTCCTGCAGGCACTGTGGTGAGTTGAGGCATATCTTTTTGTCATCGACATCAAATTCAAGGTATTTTATGTAGATAGTCATATTAAATGCAAATAATGCACATCTTTAATGTTTCAAATAACTATTTGATCACAAAATTGGTAAAACCCATAGATCTGACAAAGATTGGTAAAACAAATTTAATTACACTAAATTATTATTTTGAGGCTGTATGTAGATGTATAGCATTTTAAGAAACTTCTTAAGTTGCAAATGCTAATAACGGGAAGCATCGTCATCCAGCTAAATGATGAAGAAATAATAATTTAAGCATTTAAAAAAAAAAAAAAAAAATTTATTAATAGCCTCCAGCTAAATTAGAATTATTTTTCAACTTTTTTTCAGAAGTATTCTTAATGATTATTAAACAATAATTTTAATAACTAAGTTCTAATAACTTGTTTATATGTATTTTTTGTCATGCTAACAGTACATGGTATTTTACTAGTTAATTAGCAAGATAGCCTATTTGTATTTGGCTTAAACTGTTATGTTAATTAGGTTAACTGGGTATAATAGGTTAATTAGTCATTAGACAATAGTGGTTTGTTCTGTAGACCATCAAAAATAATAATTTTTTTAAGAGAGGTAATATTATTGACCTTAGCCATTTTTATGTATGTATTTATTTATTTTTTATTCCAGCCAAACTAAGTAATAACAAACTAAATAAGACTTTCTCCAGGGGTAAGCTGTACTAGGAAATACTATAAAAATCCTTGCTCTGTTAAACCTCACTTGGCATATGTTAAAAAAAAAGTTTAAAGGAGGACTAATAATTTTGTCTTCAACAATACATACATGCATACATACAGTACATAATAAATAAATAAATAAATTTATTTATTTATTTATTTATTAATTAATTAATTTATTTATTTGTTTGTTTAATGAATGAATGAATGAATGAATGAAGGAATGAATGAATAAATAAATAAGGATTCTAATGTGTCTTATCAGGGAGCACCAGGGGCTACAGGACTGGTTGGTGCGCAAGGTGTTAATGGCTCAGAAGTAAGTAACTGCCATGTTTGTAATAAAATTTCATTACTATTAACCTGTAGTAAGGCCTAGTAAAGGTTACAAAAATAAAGTCAACCAAATTTGAAGCTGACAATGTTTTTCTGTTATAGGGGGATGCTGGACCTGCTGGTCCTATTGGACGTAAAGGCCCACAGGTATTTTCACACACTGTATTGTGTGATTGCTTCATAAAGCTTTGATCTTTTGAGTCAAAAAATAACATGAAACATGTCCTGACTATTGCTCTTATAGGGGCCTAGAGGAACTGATGGAATCAGAGGCCCACCTGGTCAGCCTGGATTACAGGTACTGTACATTTCATATTGTACACTAGCAATGCATGTAATGCTAATGATAAACAAGACTATGTTGTAACATACAGCATGCTAATGGATGTTTTTCCACAGGGACTTCCAGGTCAGGGTGGTCCACAGGGTCTCAAAGGTGACATAGTAAGTTTGGAAGTCAGAAACCGAAAATTAGTAGCACATCTATCATGTACAGTATTGTGTTGTGTTTATTATTGAATGGATACTTTAGATGTTTTTGTTTGTGGACAGGGTAAAGAGGGTCCAGTAGGAAACAGAGGGCTACAAGGCATTGAAGGGCCTATGGTGAGTCTATTGCCATGTATTAAATGTAAGCTGGAGAAAAATGCTTGAATCTGATTTATACATTCATACATCAGGCCTTTAGCGGTCGTTATAACATCAGTATATGTTCTGTATTGCATTTTAACTCCAATTAGCTTATTAGAGACATGTATTCTGACTAAATAAATTCTCATTGGTGTCTATTAAATTACAGCCTGCCAAACTGCAGTCCTGTTATTATCAGTGTGCTCTGTAAAGATACCTTCATATGGGGGGAAAAAAACAATTAAATCATGTTTTGAAAAAACAATTTAACTGGACTTTTTTATGTGATGATAAAAATAGCAACTTAAAAACAAAATAAATAAATATTAAGATAAATAAATACATTATCATTTAACACGTATGTACTGTTGGGGATGTTTTCATGCACTCTGGGGTGATTTTGTGTCTTAATTTGGCCATAACTTTATCTGCTGTTCAGCTAGCAGAATGATCTTTTGTGACAAATCTTATTTTAACAATTTATTATTTTGATCAGAATTGAGGTTGATTAACAGATTCATGCAAAAAAACAAATGTTAATCTGATGCATTTTAATTTAGTGGATGTTTTCATCCCTAACATAACAAAAGGATAGAAAATTTCAACTTGGACAAGGGTTAAAAGTCTGTGTTTTTATTTATTTTAGTATTATTTCTGTGTTTGTTTGCTAGTTTATGGAATAATTTGTTGTTTTGTTCAATAAATAGTTCTATTTAGGTTATTTTTATTTCTTTAATTTATTTGTTCATTCATTTACTTTGATTATTTAATTGATTTAATCAGTGGTCATTTGTTCTTTTATGTTTTTGTTTGTTTCTTTTTTCTTCATTTGTCATTACGCCTTTCATTTATTAATTCATTTATTTGTTTGTTTGTTCATTGATTCATTTGTTCTTTTATTCTTTTTTTTTTTTTTAGGGTATGACTGGAGATCCAGGTCCAAAAGGCTTTCCAGGTGTCACAGTAAGATATCTGATAAAACTCTCACTGTATGTTTCTTTGGCAGTGCAGTAAATATTCCTAAATACATGTGTCTGTCATGTACTGGATAATCTCACTAATTAATTCCTCTGATTTAGGGCAATAGGGGCCCGGATGGAGAGAAGGGTGAAGAAGGACCCAAGGGGAAAAAAGTAATCACCAATACCATAATACATTCAAAAGTTATGAAGCTTTACTTGAAGGATTCAGGCAACTGTCAGTTATTATGACTAAACTGTACGTCTATAGGGTCCACGAGGAGCACCAGGCATCATGGGTCCTCAAGGCGAGAGGGGTCAGTCAGGCCTCACTGGATTACCTGGTGTCAAAGGTCAACCAGGGGCTGCAGGGATCCAGGTAAATAGATGGACTATCCTTTAACCTTTCTTGAATCTTTCATAAAATGATGAAACAAGCAGATAGCCACAAGAACTAAAGCAATGGTGTCCAGTCTTGCTTCTGAAGGATCAACGTCCTGTAGAGTTTGCCCTGAACAGCTCCAGATCACTTAAAACTATGTAAGCAAGTGTTTTGAAAACCCTGGCTGCATTCAAAATAATTTACTTTCCTACTTATTTGAACGCATCAACGGAAACGTCAGCCAATCAGATCGCTGTATGCAAATACACCAGCTCAGACAGTAGCCGATTGCTGACTAATTTCATTGGCTGACACCGCTATGACGATTGCGTCAGCCCCAACTTTATGGCTTCTGTCAAGCGTTGACGCTGAAGGCCTTGTTTTAATCGGACATTACAAGTTCAAGCTTGGTGAACTCTGACCTGCAAATTTGTATCACATGATTTCATGAGACCAACAAAAGATCAAAATGTGACCAAGTCTCTGTACAGAAATGTAAAATATGAAGCTGTCACTTGTTTTATTAGAGTTTTGAATCACTGTTTTACTAAAATTACTACTGTGCTGAGAATTTCAGCATACTTTGTCAGTCACATACTGTTTTTAGCCTACTATAGCCCAATGTTGTGTTTGTAAACAGCAATGCCATATTTTGTGGCAGAAGCCGAACAGCTGTCAGAAAGCAGCAGCTCTATAATAGAGATGTGAAGTGTAAAATCACACTAGAAATAATAATATTTTTAAAGGGTTTCCCAGCAGAAATCCTGCTTTCTTGTACTAATATGCTAACCCTTAGTAACTAGCAAAAAAACATGTTCACTGTTAAAAACATTCTGGTTGCCTTAAATTTTTAAGCTGAATCAAATTAACTTTGAGTCCATTAAAGTTACTTAAATCGGCTTGCGTAACTTATAATATTAAGTATATTAATATTAATATTAATAATATTTAGAACATGATTAATTTAGTTTATTAAAATGAGCTTAAAATAACCAAAGTTAAAATAAAAATAAAATAAGTTAAAATGACCAAAAACATATGCTGTCAGGACTAATTGATCATATATTTTTACAGTGTAAGAAAAATAACTTTATTATATATTCATAAAATATAAAGCAAATTTAAACATCTATTTTCAAATAGCGTATTTGACAACTACAAAATTGTTTACTGTTTTATTAATACATATTTTGGTTTTCGCAGTTTTTATGCCACTATCATCCATGCACCTAAATTGGTTTATATTGGGAAAGTATGGGATTTCAGACGCAGCCTTGGATTACTGTAGCTGGCTCAGGTGTTTTTAAAGTAGGAGCTAAACTCAAGGATAGTGGCCCTTCAGGAACAGGCTTGTACACCTCTGATATAAATCAGGTTTACTTAGCTTCAAAAGAAGATTTCTGGGTAAAAGATACTGTTTTCTCTCCCCCAGGGTATAGATGGTGAAGTGGGTCCTCAGGGAATGCTGGGAAAAGAGGGTCAGAAGGTAAGAGTTATTTATGACTTTCAGGTGGAGCAATCACAACAAAAACATTCTTAAAGCTCTCCATTTTACATCAGTCTACACAAGAGATCAGCTAAAACATAAAGGCTGCTCAAAAGTGATTTTTAATTGTGTCCTAGTGATACATTCACCTGAAAAACAGCATCTATTTTAATTTTGTCTCTTTAGGGCAGCAGGGGTGAACCTGGTGGTAATGGAAGAACAGGATCAAAAGGATCCAGAGTAAATTTACCGTTTGTTTTATAATCTGATATATATATATATATATATATATATATATATATATATATATATATATATATATATATATGCTGAATACATTTAATAATTTAAATATTTAAAAGAATATAGAATTTGGCACAGTTTAGGAAACTTGGTCATTGAAAAGTGATATTAATAAAGAGATTTATGATATGATACATGATACATATTTCATGTTATGTATGTGTGTGTGTGTATATATATGTCATCAGCATATTTTAATATAAAATAAAGATTTTAAAATGTCAAATTTTAAAGTAAATACAATTTTTATGGTCTCCAATTTGCTAATATGTTTTATTTAACCATATATTAAAAATATGTATTGAACATTATGATATTTGGTATTAATTATTATGAATCAGAAACATTTTAAAAAGTCATCCTGTGTCATTTGATCACATTGAAATATGTCATTTACTCAGGGTCGAGCAGGCCAACATGGTCCTCCTGGTATACCTGGAATAGTGGTAAGAGAATTCAATTGGTAAAATGTGTTAAGATTTATTTGTCACACATATTATTAAATCAATCCTACATACACTTGTGCTTTTGCAGGGATTACGAGGTTCAGTTGGTGCTGAGGGACCAGAAGGAAAGCCTGGTACACAGGTTCCCATTTCATACATTTAATATCAAGTTTTTATATATACTCTATACATCAGTCATAGTGCTTTTTCATATATATATATATATTATATTATATATATATTATATATATATATATATATGAATCTTAGAGCAATGTAAGAAATGAACGGTTCTGAATTTTGACGTGTGTCTTGCAGGGTGTTTCTGGTTCTGTCGGAAACCCAGGAGATAAAGGACCCCACGTATGTTTCACATCATCAGCTAAATATTTCAGTCAATTGAGAGCAGATTGCAGCTATAATAAAAGCTTGTTGTAAAGGTTAATAATGATAACATATGGTTCTTTAAAAGACCTATTACCAGCATTAGAAGAAACACTGCCTATGGGCATGTGGAGGTCAGACTGGCATGGAAAGGTGAAAAGATCAGAGACGATTAAACTTAACAAGGTCTTTAACAACTTTTATGGGTTTATCCTTCTGTTTATCCTTCTGTTGTGGAGGAATCACCTCACTTTCAGCATGACAGCAGTACAGTATGTGTTATATTTTGTATTCTTATAGGGAGCAATGGTTGAGTGTGTTTTTTTTTATTTTTCATTTTTTTATTCCCCCCCCCCCCCCCCCCCCCCCAAGTAGGATGCGATCCTGGATTAACATCTATGTTGATCCTGGAATTTTCAAAAATTTATCCATACCTATTCCTACCTCTGAACCCAACCCTAACTGTAAATTATTCCCAAAATCAGAAAGGAATAATAGTTGGATAACAATCATGTAGAAGCACATAACCCTAACTGCAAACCTAAACTTAACATAAACTGTAAACTTATCCCTTAATTCTGATTGGTTGAAGTATTTTTCGGTTAGTGTGATTTACAGTTAGGGTTAGGTTCAGAGGTAGGGATTTGGTATGGATTACATTTTCGAACAATAATTACATTCCAGGATCAACATAGATGTCCTACTTAGTGTGATTTCAATTAGTGTAATTTCACCGTCTACATCAAGTTTCTGTTTGAATACATATAAAAATAATAATAATTAAAAATAAAGTAAAAGAACATGTTAAAAAATGTGTGAAATAACATTCTGTGTTATCTTTCAGCATAACCTATAATACAAATAGTATATATAATATAAATTGTTTATGCTTTTTTATGTTTAAAAAATGTCCTGCTGAGAAATGTTAAACTATTGGTTTGCAGTAAAAGGGATTTAAGATGACAATTAATCAGTATTTTCTGGCATTGTGATACATAATTGTGACATTGGACCACAAATCATGAACTGAATTGTAGGAATAGCCAAATAGCTATTCTATTGGTCTTTTTTTTTTTATTCCAAAACTCCTTAGAATATAATGTAAAGATAATTTTTCTCAAAGAAATTTCATTCTATAAATCTCAAAATGTAACTTTTGATTACTAATATGCAATGATAAGAATTGCGATCTTTAATTGTAATTTTCTTAATATTTATATTCTTTTTAAGCCTTAAATTCCAGATTTTCAAACAGATGTATTTTGACCAAATAATATCATATTCTAACAAACAATATGTTAATGGAAGGTTTATTAATCCAGCTTTCATTTGATTGTATAAATCTTAAATAAAAAATTGACCCCTATGATGGTTTAGTGGTGCAGGATAATATATTTTAAGATTTATTTGGTATATAAAATGTTATTACGCTGAATGACATCATTTTAGTGGGGTATGTCATCATGGTTAAAATTAAAATGGTGTAAATCATGATTAAAATGAAGTGATCATCTTTTTTTTAACTTATTGAAAAATGAAAAGATCAAATTTAACAGCAGACTCTTATGAGTGGAAAGGGATGTTTTAAAGGGATAGTTTATCCAAAAATGAAAATTTACTTCAATTTTGACCCACATATTTGATGCATAAACCTATGTAAATCCGATCATCTTGTAATCCAGCTTGATTTGAGAGTGATCCAAAAAGCGTCTCATGCTTCAGTGGAAGAAAAGACATTTTAATCTGAAAGAAAAGTCAACAGGGTCTAAGAAATTAGTTCGATGCAAACTAGTAATAAAAAAGTGCAGAATCCTAAATGTTTGTATGCTTATTACAAAACAACTCAATGTTGACATTTTCCACTTATTCACTTTTTTTTTTTTTGTTATGTTTAACTTCTGTATTGTTGGAAGGGCCTGAGGGGTGTGATTGGAGAACCAGGAAAGCAAGGTCCTTCAGGCTCACAGGTGAGCTGAACAACAGGACAAAGCTTATTGCAAAGACTTTCAAATATTTTGTAGTAAAAAATTGTTCATGTTTCATTTTCCTTAGCGTCACTGAATTTGAAACTGCTTGCTTTTTAACCCATAAAATATTTTTCATTTCTTTTTTTTTTTTTTTTAATCTTATTAGGGCCCACCTGGACGACCAGGCCAAGATGGTTCTCAAGGCCCTCCTGGTGAAAAGGTAAGACTTTTGAAGCTCTAATGAATGTTAAATCATTATTGAATACAAACAAAGTCCTTTTAAGGCAAGTAATTTCACTTGGCGGCCATCTTTGAAATGCTTCTCCGGCAGTATGCTCGGGCATTCTGTTTGAATGGGGAAACATCAAATTCTCCAAAACTGTTTGCCTAGCTTACGATAAAATTTCATATTTGGATTCAAAGTTAAACAACTCAACTCTTTCTTAAGTTTCCTTTCAAAACGTTCAAATTAAACAAAAATCTGCATTAAATTAAAAAAATGCGTTCTAATGCACATGCGCACTCAAAGGGAACAAGATCACGACACCAACCTTCTTTATGACGTGACATCATCGACTGAATAATGGTTGTGCTGGCCTTCTGAAGTAATTTCAACGTGGTATTGATGACAAATCTCCTTTCAAAATGCAGCAACCACTTTGTTTACAAATTTGTGGCCGTTCGAGTATTTGCTATGATGTGATATGCCATGTTGTTTAACGGGACTGACTGTACCATTTCATACGAATTACAAAATCAAAAAAACATTTGTTTTTAAATGTAGTTGGTTAAACATTTTTTCTAGCTTTATGTGGATATATTTCTCATGTCTGTGAAGCAAGTATTCACTGTTTGTTGACTCTAGATGTTTAATAACTACTGCAGAAACTGTTGTAAAAGCACACGTCTGGTCCAAACCCCTCTCAGGGGGGAAAAGTCAGTCTATAGCGATCGATGATTGGCTCCTGTACTAGAAGGCGGGGCTTCATTTACCATATTGATGTTACGCATTTGAAACTAAATGAGCCACATGTCTTGTGTATTCTATAGTCTTTAATATAAATCAGTGTTTATATATATATATATATATTATGTGGTCTGTGTGTGATTAGGGCTTCACTGGAAAAGCTGGCTTGGCAGGTGCTCAGGGGCCTGTAGGCATGTATGTAAGTGTCGCTATCCAGTTTGATAAGATTATTCATGATATACTTTTTGTAGTTGTGATTAGATTTAGAACTGTTTTCTTGCTCTCAGGGCTATCCAGGAGCCATCGGCCTTCGTGGACCGCCAGGACACACAGGAGAAAGGGTTTGGAAGTTTTGCATATTTTACAATGAAACTTCTCTAATAATTCTGGATGTTGTATCATATCATGTGTGTATGTATATAGGGTGAACCTGGCATTAGGGGACCATTAGGACCACCAGGGAAAAGAGGACCACCTGTAAGTTGAGCTGTATGTCAGGAAGTATCATTCATTTTATGACACCATGGTCACTTTTTGTCTAAAACTAATGTTACCCTGTTGATCTTCTAAGGGTTTAGCTGGCCCAGCTGGAGAGAGAGGCTCACGTGGACCCCCGGTAAATTTACTTAAGGATTCAAACAGACAAGATGTATTTTTTAAACTTTATTTGCTGAACTTTTTTGAATACAGAGAGGTTATCTGTGATGTTTCCAACTTTTTTAGGGTCGCCAAGGAGAAACTGGACCTACGGGCTTCCAAGGACTGCCTGTATGTAGCCCTCAGTAAAGCACATGCATGTAATTATGGAACATAGATTTAAAGTATTATAAAGTATAACAGATAAATAAGCATGTACAAATGTGTGCATATATATCCATAGAAAGAAATCAGCAAGGAAAAATATTTTTTTGAAAAATCATATGACGAGGAGGACTGTAGTAAAGGCTGCTAAAACTAATAAATTACATCAAACCATTTTAAAATATATTAAATTATTTATTCATAATTTAAAATTTGACAAATAAACAGACATGAACTGAGCATTTCATATGATTTAAAAGTATGATGTCCACACTAGGTATAAGTATGATATATTTAGTGTGATTTCCACACTAGTTCAAACTTCACTGGTGTTGCTTACCTTGTGGGGACATTTTGTCAAGACAATGTTAAATACAATAATGGACAATTTATTTGTTAATTCAGGGGCCCTCTGGACTGCCAGGTGCTGAAGGTGTAACTGGAAAGCAAGGACCCCCAGGCAGCCTGGGGCCTCAGGGGTCAAAGGGAAAACAAGGACCAATTGGATTGCCAGTGAGTGGGTACTTCTTATTTAGTTTTTTAGGATAGAATTGTAAAAGAAAGTAACAGTCCTGAGCTTTTACTCAGACTCTGATGATAATGTGCCATTCTTTAGGGCTCACCAGGATCAAGTGGAATGATTGGTCAGACAGGAGAGAAAGGGGAGCAGGTATTGTACAGCATTTCAATTTAATAAAATACAGTTTCAACATAACACATGGGATTAAGCATGCTCTTATCTAGGGAGTGCCAGGACCTGCAGGTGACCCTGGATCTGTTGGACTGTATGGGCCACAGGTCAGTTCTTATAAATATATGAAAAAATTAACTGCAATCAGGAAGTGTCCTGTTTAATAGTCGACTTAATCTTTTCTTGGGATGATTACTAAATATACAAAAACTGGGTCATTTGTCAATGTAAATTTAAGCCTAAATTAACTTTTTTTTTTTTTTTTTTTTTACCTCTCCCTATTATAGGGCCATCCTGGTCGAGTTGGTTTAGAGGGTCCAACAGGGTCAAAGGGGGATGTTGTACGTACAAAATACTGATGCTTGTTTATCATATGTCAGCTTTCTCTCCATACTTTTTCATGTCAATGATTTTACTTGGATGTTTGATTTAAGGGATCACCTGGACCCAAGGGAAAACCTGGTCCAAATGGGTTTCAGGGAGAACAGGGGCCTCAGGGCTCTCAGGGTGTTCTAGGTGCTCCAGGACCTCGTGGCAAAGAGGTCAGTGATTGCATGAGGCCCAATATTTACCTACACTACCTTTGAAAAGTCTGGAGCCAGTAAGATTCCTTTTTCAATTCACAAGGGACCCAGAAGACATTGTTATAAAAGAGTTCAATTAGTTTTTATTGAACTTCAAAATCATCAACAAGTCTTTAATGTAATGTAATGTGTATTTATATAGAGCATTTATTGTGTATGACCATTCAAAATCACAAGGGTTGGGGGGAAGGGGTCTCTCCACTTCACCATCAGTGTGCAGCGTCTACTTGATGTTGCAACGACAGCCACAGGACAACAGCACCAGTGCGCTCACCACACACCAGTGGATTAGAGAGACAGTGGTAGAGCCAATTAGGTTGATGGGGATGATTGGGAGGCCATGATTGATGTGGGCTGATAGACGGATTTTTGCCAGGACAAAGGGGTTACACCCCTACTCTTTTTACAAGTGCCATAGGATTTGTAGTGACCACAGAGAGTCAGGCGGTCGGATTAACATCTCATCTGAAAGATGCTGCTCACTGACAGCATAATGTCCCCTTCGCTATACTGGGGCATTAGGACTCAGACTGCAGGTTGAGGACTCCCTGCTGGCCTCACTAACACCACTTCCAAAAGCAACCTGGTTTTCCCATGTGGTCTACCATCCAGGTACTGACCAGGCTCAGACCTGGTTCACTTCAGTGAGTAACTGTTCTTGGGTTGCAGGGTGATATGGCTGTGGCTTTAGAATAATAAACAACTGTTATCGACACCGATAATAAGAAGTGTTTCATGAGCTTCAAAACAGTTTATATATGGCTCCTTTACTGTTGTATTTTCTTTTTTGATTCATTTAAGAATATGTGAACACGGTAATCGCATTTGCATCTGTACCAAAACAACAATAATTTGACTGAACAGCCCTAATGTAAATGAGCACTGGAGAATGCAATATAGTCACATGCTTAAATTTATGTTTCAGAACATAGTAAACAATCTACAGACTGCTGATTTTAGCTTGATCATGACTAAAAGGAATGGCATTTTAAAATATACATAGAAATGGGCAAACTTTTTTTTGAATTAAGTATTTACTGTATTTTGAGCACAAGAGACTTCATTCAAAAACATTTTTGATCCCAAACATTTGAAAGGTAGTGCATATGTCTTTAAAATTCCTCATGCTGTATATTTAAAATGCATTAATTAATTGCGTATTTCATGCGCAGGGAGGTATTGGACCTCCTGGTATAACTGGAAACCAGGGCCCCAAAGGACAAAAGGTAAAAAAAAAATTCAATTCATCTTTATTTCTATAGCGCTTTTACAATGCAGATTGTGTCAAAGCAGCTTAACATAGAAGATTATAGTGAATTGAAACCATGTCAGGCCAGTTTTCAAAGTTGACGTTAGTTCAGTTTAGTTCAGTTTAAAAATCACAATATGGTTACGTAAGATGTCATTAGATACACTGTAGAAGAGTTTGCAATGATAGTCTTTATTTTAATCAGGGTGACCCTGGACATCGAGGATTCTCTGGCCAACAAGGTCCTCCTGGACTTTTGGGGGATGGAGGAGAGCGTGGACTAAAAGGGAATAAAGGCTACCTCGGATCACAGGTTAATGATTTTGCTGAGTTCATTGTCAGACCCAAAGATATAATACCTACTATTACTGTATACACCATAATTTTAGTGTCTAACGCCTTGAATGATGATCTCTTCACCAGGGTCAAAATGGTTTAATGGGAAAGATTGGTCCATCTGGATTAATGGGTCTAGAGGTAGGGATTTTAAGAAACAGAACACCTAAATTACCTAAATATAGTTGTTTTGGATGGAGAATACACATTAGCTAGTTGAAAGATTCTATAAATTGACTTTCAATGCAGGGTTTGATGGGTCTTCGGGGACCACCAGGAGCAAACGGCCCACCAGGCCCAAAGGTATCACTGCCTTTTCTTTCTTGAGTTTCTTTCATCAATGTTCCTTGATCAGGATTACCCTTATACATTTCCTAATGCAACAGTCCTGCTCTTTGTTTTAAAAGGGTGAAACTGGATCACCAGGACCGAATGGATATCCAGGAGATCAAGGCAATCAGGTAAAATCAATGACCGTTTTCCAGAATACAACCGGTTGGGTAAAATAATCGGCATATTGCATATGTAACCAAACTGTGAACAAGACAGAAGTGTGACACATTTGACTGCTACCTGAGATTACAGAAACTTCTCAATGTCAGATTAATGCCATGCTGTTTTTTTGTCTACAGGGGCTGGCTGGCCGGAGGGGTTTACAAGGGGTTATGGGGAAGGCAGGACCTCTGGTAAGTATGGCTAACGTTTCAAGGTAAATCAGTGCTAGATTTTCAGGGGATAAATAATACTCATATTGCAGGGAGTCGTGGGTCCAAAAGGCCCCCAGGGCTTAATGGGCCCAAAGGGTTTCCCAGGACAAGAGGGACCTAAAGGTGAACCAGGAAGACGAGGACCGCCTGGGCTGAAAGTGAGATTGAGAAATAAATGAGAATTTATATAGTGATGTATGTGATGTCAGCTGATCACTGTCTCTCTTGCAGGGTCCACCAGGTCTAACTGGTAATAATGGACCCTCTGGATTTCCTGGAAAAGAGGTAAAACTAAAAATTGGCCAAATAGTTTTTCTGGAATTTTTAATATAAGTATGTTATATATTAAATATAACATTATTGCTTATGTTGTTTGTATATTATCCAAATTAAGCAACATGCTCTTTAGTAAGAGTGTGTGATATTGACAATATTGGTGGTGATGGCTTTATAATTATTTATATTTCCTTCATAATAATAATTGAACAGTAGTTTGCTGAGTATGTGTTTGTGTTCATTAGCAGTATATTAATTCCAAATTGCAAACAATGCACAATTGGAATAGCACATACATCAAAACAAATAATAACAGTGATTAAAAACAAATAAAAACAGATTCAAATGTGTTAAAATAGGTTTTGAAAGAAAATAAAGACATAATAGTGGGATCTGTCGGACGTAGCACAGTGCTCATTTAGTAATGCACAGCTAAACAAATGTGTTTTCAGTCTTGATTTGAATATACCTAATGTTGGAGCACATCTGGGGCCTCATGTACGAAGACTTGAGTGGAAATCATACTAAAACATTGCGTACGCACAAAGCTGTAAATGTGCGTACGCAGAAAAAAATTCAGATGTATGAAACACTGCGTACGCCGAATCCAACGCATATTCTTTTGTACATCTGAATGAACGTGAAAGTAAGCGCAACATGCACGAGCACAAAACCCCTCCCTGCCTCCTCCCCCGTATGAATATGCAAATGACTCTACTTTGGCAAAACCCAACGAAAAAGCAATGGCAAAAGCAAGCAAGAAGAGAAACTTTGAACAAAATGTAAATTGAAGGTGCTGCTTTCGGAGGTAGACCAGAGAAAAGCGGTGTTATTTGCAAGTTTGTCCTCCAAATTAACAACAAAAGAAAAAAATTGAGTGGGGAGAGTTTAGCTGATGCGGTTAACACAGTTGGGTCTGAACATCGCACTGAGTTAAAAGAGAAATAGTGTGATTTATAGGTGTAAAATGTTGTAGCACTCTTAACAGTCTCAGTGGCGCAGCTCGTAAAACGCATGTCATCATGTTTTGACACGTTCGAGCATGAACTCGGTTCGAATCCAGCGTCTGATTAACTCATTCTTCTTTTTTCCCCGCTACATATCAGATTTTGCCTACTATTTATCACGAGAAAGACAAGTAGGAATCATTAATAAGTCTGTGCATCATATTTTATTTGCACATTTATTGAATGGAAATGTTTCTGATTCATGCATGCAAATTCATCTTTAGATGGCGCCTTTATAGCAATGTGCGTGCGGTCGATCGCTCCTATTACAATGGGAAAACAGGCGACCGCTGCAAATTGCGCTTTAATGTTTGGCTGGTCAACTGTATGGTATGGAAACCTTATATAACTGCTTGATAAACCTGCCTCATACAGCTGCCATTGCACGGCTCAAAGACACTTTGTAGTGTGCAATTTAACACAACTGCCTCTAGGAGTCGCCAATGGAAATAAAACAGAAACGCACAAAAAAATGTGCGTACGCCAGCCATGAAGCTGGCGTGGAGCTGCGCACATTCCCACGTTCATTTCATCGTTAGTAAATCCAAACGTGAGCGATTCTGAGCGTGAAACCTGGCGTACGCAAAGTTTTTGTGCGTACGCAGCGTTGATACATGAGGCCCCAGATCATTTTTGGAAACTGATTTCAGCCGTAATAGCTGAAGGTGGATTCGTTCTGCTCTAAATTAAGTCTTGTAATTTTCTAGTTTATATGATCGTAAAGATCTGAGTGATCTTTTAGGTTTGTATTCAGTGAGCATATCTGTAATGTATTGAGGTCCTAGGCCATTTAGTGATTTATAGACCAGTAGTTATACTTTAAAATCTATTCTGAATCTAACGGGAAGCCAGTGTAAAGACCTGAGGGCAGGTGTGATGTGCTCTAATTTTCTGGTTCTGGTCAGAATCCTGACCGCAGTGTTCTGGATAAGCTGGAACTGTCTGACTGTCTTTTTGGAAAGGCCGGTGAGGAGTCCATTACAGTAATCCACCCTGCTGCTGATAAAAGCATGAACAAGTTTCTCTAAGTCTTCACTGTACTTACTGCTTTGACATGACTACTGCAACTCATATCTGACTCCTGAGTCACACCAAGATTCTTGTCCTTATTTTGTGTTGTTTGAGCCTTAGAGCCAAGGTATGCAATTATCTTAAAACCTCATCTCTGTTCCCAAACGCAATGACTTCAGTTTTCTTATTGTTTAGCTGAAGAAAGTTTTGGTTAATTTAAAATTGATTAAACATCAATTATATTATTATTGTAGCCATATCACACGCTCCTATTTATTTATCTATTTAGTTTGCTATATTACTTGTGTGTTTATTTATTTTTTTACTTTGTACTGAATGTATTATTTATTTTGTTTCATATTTATTTGCTTCTATTGCCAGGGTCTTCCAGGAGAATTAGGACCTGATGGCCCTGTTGGCCCTCCAGGACCACAAGTTAGTATTTGTGCTGAAAATATATAGAAGTGACTCGATGTATATAAAAAAAAAATAATAATAATAATAATAAAAAAAAAAAAAAAAGGAAAGATTTATTCACTGCCTAAAGGTCAACTTATATTTATTACTTCTGTTTACATGTTTTAGGGTCCAAAAGGCAAACCTGGGCCTCAAGGAAGAAATGGACCAAAAGGCCAAAAGGTCAGGGTCTAAATCTCTGTAGTTAGCATGTCATTAGATTTTAAGTGCAGTATCATTCAATTTACTCTTTCCTTGTTCTTTTCTCTCATTAGACAATCAGTCTAATACAGCTATGAACAAAATTTAGAAACTATTTGAACATTCTGTGTTTCTCTGGATTCAACATTTAGAATTATGTCTAATGTTCTTACAATGTTTTAACTTTTGAAGAGTAAAAAAATCCATATTTGGTTTGATTTGTAGATTTTATTTTTATTATGTAAAGGCCGTGGTACAGTGGGTAGCGTTGTCACCTTACAGCAAGAAGGTCACTTGTTCAAGCCTGGCAGTTGGCATTTCTATGTGGAGTTTGCATGTTCTTCCTGTGTATGTGTGGGTTTCTTCTGAGTGCTCCGGTTTCCCCCACAAGTCCAAAGACATCCGCTATAGGTGAATTGGCTAGGCTAAACTGGTCGTAGTGTATGTGTGTTTCTCAGTGATGGGTTGCGGCTGGAATGGCATCCGCTGCGTAAAACATATGCTGGATAAGTTGGTGGTTCATTCCGTTGTGGCGACCCCTGATTAATAAAGGAATAAGACAAAAACAAAATGAATTAATGATTGTAAAACCTAACCAGGGACAAGGGCTGTGAATTATTTTTATGCTATATGCCATATGTACACAGCATCAGTTGTCTCTGTATGACAATGTTAAGTTATGGTCAATATTAAATAAACAAACAAATGAATACAAAATAAATCAAATAAAAGCTGATTTTCATTCAGAATAATTGAAGAAAAAATATATATTATTCTGACCAACTGTAGTTTTCTGGAAAAACATAGCTCTAAATCACTATATTATTGTTTAAAACATGATAGAAATGTTATCGGACCTTATACAGTATAACAGTATAAAACAAATATTAACATTTTACTGAAACCCCTACCTAGTTAATCCAGTACATCCAGATAAAATGCTCATTTTCAGGTTGTCTCTAAAATGTTTCCATCTCTGTATACTTTAACAATTTTCCAGGGAAATGATGCACGTAAGGGGTCTTCTGGAAAGACTGGGCATGCTGGAAGGAGAGTAAGTACACTTATGAGGTTTGTTTAGGTTTGGTGAAAACATTTCCAGAAGATAAATTGGAATCTTTTTTGCTTTTAGGGGAAAGCAGGAAAAGCTGGTCCGAGGGGTCTTAGAGGACCAAAAGGACATAAGGTACACATTCATTCATTGCACATTTTTTAGATTTCACTGTAAAGGCAAGATATGTGTCACAATTTATCCATTTTACCAGCTTTTGTCTTGTGTACCAGGGCCAGCAGGGTGCACAGGGAAACACTGGACCTCCAGGCAGACAAGGACAATATGTAAATGAACGCATGCATAAGCGGATTTCTCATTCTCAGAGAGCACATTTTCCCTCATCTAGTTTTACAATTGGAAAAAGATGCTGAGAATATTTATGAGTGGCCTGCATGTATTGTTCCAGGGTCTACCAGGCATTCGAGGACAGAAAGGAGAGAACGGTGCAAAAGGCTTTGAGGTTTGGGGAATTAATGCAAATGTCATATTAGTATAAGGCGAGAAGCTTGAGGTTTACTCTTCTTTCTGTCTGCAGGGAGAGAAGGGGGATCGTGGGCTGCTCGGTCCTCCAGGGGGAGACGGACTGAAGGTGCCTTCATTCAGCTCAATCAAATGCAAAGAGAAACTGAATATCATTTCAGAAGGGAGTTGAAACTTACACACAGAATCTAATAGGGTTTTATGTATTTACACTTTGAAAAGTAAACTATTGTATCTACTGTAAAAGAGTACTTTAAAGGCCCAGTGAATAAAAAATAACCAATTTTAGCTGTTAGTTTCAGTCTGTTAATTTTAAGGATGAATATGCGCTTTTGTTCTCCAAAACAGTGACCAAAATTCGCTTTTAGAAAATATAAAACTGATATGAACATCTGATATGAACAAGCTAACAGTTTGTCACTTCCGCCTAAAATGATCAATGTTTTTTTTTTCAGCTCACCTCATACTTCATTTTTTCATCAAATCTTGACCAATCAAATGCTTTGTAGTATCTGAAATGCCCTGCCCCCTTCAAGACGTGCCTCATTTGCTATTCATTTGATGCGATTCAGCTTTACCACTCTCACTGGCAAAACTGTGATAAAAACAAAACACAATTGCTTTTTAAAAGGGGAGGGGCTACTCTATGTCCCACCCTCTTTTGATTTTTCAGTTGAGATTACATCAAACATTGAATAAAAAATGCACATTTCAAAGCACTTCACTTTTAAAGGTACATATTAGGTCCTAAAATGTATATCTTATAGGTAGGGCCAGACGGAATCTGCAGACGTTTTTTGCTATTTCTGCTGAGAATTTTAGTAAAAATCTGCAGATTTTTGCTGAATTATTTTGGGAGTGTCATAACTAAAACCATAATATGTAAAATGAAAAATTATATCTTTTTAACTTTTATTTAATGTTTAAAATGCAAATCCAATTATATTCACTTTAATTGAATAAACAAAGCAAGTCTCTCATATAATATAAAAAATATATCAACTAAAAGATGATAATATAAAAATATTGCTTTACAAATTGTATTGTACATAAATCAGATGAACATTTTCATATTAGACAATAATCTTACTGTAATTAATTTAAAAACTGAATAAATATAGATTGACATGCATTTACTCAAGTAAATAAATTGAACTAATGATGGGCTAAAAATCTGCGTAATTCTGTGAAAAATCTGCATGTAGGCCTACTTATAGGAGTGGAATGGTACACAGAATTCACGGTTCGGTATGTATCTCTGTTTTAGGTCATGGTAGAACAGGAATAAGAAACCAATCTCCACGGCTTGCTTTCTTCTGTTTTTAACAGGCAGAAGTGTTTTGTTACAGTCAGCTACAGAAGTGAAAAGCTTCTTGTGATATGATAAAGTATAAAATGTTTTACGTTTTCCAGAAGGTTTTGGACACAATATATCAATGTAAAAGATCTTTCACATACAGCTGTGCTCATCAATTTCAGTTGTAGTGGGGGATAGCATTGCAAGCTTCTGTTTACAGTATAGTGTTTGCATGACAGCTGCTTTTTTTGATGACAACATGGCGGAAGAGGCTTTTTTTTTTTTTTTTTTTTTTTTTTAATCATTCCTGAGAGCTGTATCTCGTGATGCATTATGTGTGAATGACAATCAGAGTTGTTGTACTGCAGGGATCTTTTTCTGCATAACTGACTGGCACATCTGGTCTGACTGCATTCGTCGTTCACTGCAAAAAAAAAATGCTTATTTAGATTTGTTGTCTTGTTTCTAAACTAAATATATATATAAATATATATATATATATATATATATATATATATTTATATATATATAAGTCTTAAATCAAGAATCATTTTCTAGACAAACAAAACTATTGTCTTGTTTTCAGAAATATGTCAAAATTAAGTAAGTTATTCCTTAAAACATACAAAATAATTGGGGTAAGCAAAATAATCTCTGTGGTAAACTTACCCCATTTGCAGATTATTTAGCTTGTTTAAAAAAAAAAACACACTTCAAATTTGGCATATTATTTCTGAAAACAAGAAAATAGTTTTGCTTGTCTAAAAAAAGCTTTTTGATTGATGAGTTTTTAGATATTTAGTCTAGATAGATGACAAAAAATAAGTAAGAAAATCATTTTTTGCAGTGTTGGAGTACCGCAATGCCTGTATTGTGACTGTTCAAGATGATTCTATATGCCATTACACACCTAATATATTAGAATCTAAAAAGTAAAAAAAAAAAAAAGTGTAGCTTTTTAAATTTCATTTTAAAATGTAACTCCAGTGACTGATTTTGTACCCTGATTTCTGAGAGAGTGGTTGAATGTTTCTTTATTTCAGGGAAATCGAGGCCTGCAGGGGGTGAAAGGGAGACCAGGACCAAAGGGAGAGCAGGTGACATTTTATATGTTCATAAACATAGTGTGAGTGTGTTAATGTGAAATATTAAGTAATCTGTGCCAATTTTAGGGAGATATTGGTCCAACAGGTCAAAGAGGGACACCGGGTCTACCAGGCATGCCTGTAAGTTTCATTCTCAATAAGGTTTTCATTTTAAAATGCTAAATTTGCATATCCTACTTTTATAAAAGTTTGATAAATAGCTAGATCTATTTAATTTGTCTTTGTTAAATTTATTGACTTCTTTCAAAAAAATACTTATCTCAGTTTAAGGGTAATTCTTCAACTACGGGCACTTTTATGTCCTTTGATCATATATCCAAAAATATATACAATTTTGTTCAAATTCTTTTTCCTTTGTCAAACTAACAATAAAACTTACTTTAAATAAAATTACTACCTTTCTATTATATTTTTTTCATAATATTCAACCTAGGTGTCAAAATTAGTGTTTTGACCTTGTCGCACACCCAGAGTTTTAAACTTCAACAATGAAAATAATATTTTAAAATATTATTTATCTGGTATCTATTCATGATAGTGAATACACTTGTGAAATAATTTCAATATTTTATAGTTATTCATGTGAGACTATTATCAATATTATTTTTTTATAGAAAATATAGCTGTCACAGTTTCAGTGTCATTTCCACCACTGTAATGTCACTTTAAAAAGTTTGTGTGAAAGATTATTTAGGTGGTTTCTATCAAAATAAATAATGCCATCTGAGAACGTTCAAGAATTTTTTTTTTTTTTTTGAACTTTATTTTTATACATTAAAACGTTTTACAGAACAGAACATTCAGTGACAGCAGCGATTATTAACAAAAAAAAAAAAAAGACAGTAGCCGCAGATGTAAATAAAAAAATTAAAAAATTACAAAAAAAAAAAAAACATACAATATTTTCAGTTTCAAAGGAGCTAGAAATACTATGTCCTATTCAGGTACAACGTAACAGGTGCCCATCTTTGTTTAAAAATATCCAGTTTTAGTTGAAGTTGAGCAGTCATATACTCCATTCTATATATACAATCAAGTTTTTCTATCCACTGTACTATTGTTGGAGGGTGTGGCTTCATCCAATTTATTGTTATGGTCTTTCTTGCACTTAGTAAAAGTATATGTAGTATATATCTCTGGTTTTTATTATATATATCCTGGGGTATCCCTTCAAGCAAGAAAAACAGGGGAGTAAAAGGTAGATCTACCTGCATAATTTTCATTATCTCAATCTTTACCCCTTGCCAAAATGCAAGTATCTTCGGACATTCCCAAAATATATGTGCGTGATTACCTACATTTCCGCAACCCCTCCAGCATTCCTCTGACTGTGGACGATTAGTATATTTGGAGACCATCAATGGTGTTCTAAAAAACCTAATTTTTGTTTTCCAGTCAAACTCTTTCCAGTTATAGCTGTTGATCCCCTTATGAGCTTCTGAACATATGTTTTCCCAAATATCATCCTCAGTCTTTTCATTAAGTTCAGATTCCCATTTTTCTTTAATTTGAAGGGTGTTATCTGTTGAATCCAGAATTAGGCTATTAAACGTTCAAGAATTTAAATTAAAAGTGTTTTGTATACATGAAAGACTAGTATCAATTCAAAGCTAATCGGTGAAGCTATTTTTCATTTTTTGACAATAAACTGTTGAAATGTAATTTCCACCACTGTCATTTCTGTCACCCCACACATTATTATTATTTTTTTATATATATATTTTAAAAGTTCTCATCACAAATTAAAAGCTGAAATCACAATGTATAAGTTCATGCTCTATTTAATTTATAAATTCAGGTGTACAATTCAGCATATACATCTGATTTATTTTATTGACAAATGTATCATTAAACATATTGTGGAAAGATTAGTTACTAGATACAAAAATGATCTTAGACAATGTTTGACTGCCATCATTAATTTCATTTTGAAATAAAAGCTGTATATTGAGATGTGGTGGAAATGGCATTTGTTCAGTTCAGAATGGAAAAAAAACATGTTTTTCTTCTTATCTAAGTTTGTCCTCTTACAGATCTTAAACTAGACAAATTGTTTAAACTTATGAGGCTATGTTATGTTGATTTTGAACAAGTCATTTTTACTCAACTTCACAAGACTAAAAGTGCCGTAGTTGAAGGATGGCCCTTAAATTGAGTTGTACATTTATGAAAACATCCAAGAAATTATCAAATTTTAGAGAGACGAAAAAAATATTAGAGACGCTTATTAAACAGTTCTCGAAAAAAGATTTCACAATGTTTGTTTCCTCACTCCACAGGGTCTGTTTGGAGAAAAGGTTTGTTACAAACATTTTTAAAAAATTGCAGTCAATAAAATGACACGCTGTTTTCTTACCCAGTTAACATTTACTGATGGTCAAATGGGATCTGTTCAACTTTATTAGGGTTTAAAAGGATATCCAGGACTTACTGGTCCAAAAGGAAAGCGAGGACGTCAAGTGAGTTGTACAGCACTTATTTACAGTACATTACCTGAGTGAAACACTGCCAGCAAAACATTAAATAAGGCCTTTATTGTAGTAACTACAACAGTCTTTTTTAGGGCCCGCCAGGTCTTCCGGGTCCGCCAGGCTTATCTCTAAACCTAACACTGACTCAGCTAAAAGTGAGTAGCTGATAACCTTTAAAAATATAGTTATTATTTTTGCTCATGAACTGTGCTTCATATCACATGTACAAAAGGTTTCAAACTGATTGCTTCATGATTTTATTTTTGGTTATTATTTGTTTGTTTCTCCACCCAAATCAGGACCTCATGTACCTCTCAGACAAGCCCAACTATCCTCTTCTCAGAACGCTGCTGGACTCCCTTCAGCAAGACCTGCGCTTCTTCATTGATCCTCCAGACGGCAGCAAAGATCATCCGGCCACAAGCTGCCTGGAGCTGATGATCACTTTTCCAAACCTAACCAGTGGTCAGAGTCAATCTCATCAACGCTATTGTCCATCTGTAGACCTGAATATTTAAATTTTGGCTGTGTGGATCGTGCTGCATGTTAATTCTTTTTGTCTGTTATTGTGTCAGGGATGTATTACATCGACCCCAATCAAGGCAGTTCTGCTGATGCTTTATGGGTTTATTGTAACCTCAGTGAAGGACAGACATGTTTGTCTCCTCTGCAGCCACAGGTGACATGTTTCCTTTTTGTTGCAAGATTAAAAAGACAATACATAAAATATGGGTAGAAATAATTGTAAAATATTGTTGTATTTTTACTTTTTATGTAATAATAAATAAGTAAATAAGCAACTTATTTAGACCTGTACTTTACCAAAAAAGTGCTGCTTAAATTGGCAAAACCTAATTGTTACAAGGATAGTTCCAAAGATTAAAGTTGATAATTAAAATGAATTAATTAAAATTTATTAATATAATAAGCTGCACTGTGATTATTTATTATTATATCATCATCCGATCCTTTTCAAATTGTGTAAATTAACTATTTAAGGTAACATATGAGTAACATATCAGAAAATAAAGTAAAATATATTATAAATTATTTTAAATATTTTTAAACTTAAAGTCTGCAATTATTTAATGTATTTAATGAAGAATGCAGTAAAATAATAGTGTAAAATAATATTACAATTTAAAGTCATTGTTGCCTATTTTAATACATTTAAAATTATATTTTTTAATTAAAAAGAGTTCAAGTAAAAAAAATTTCCAATGAAGATAAAGCCGTATTAATTAGTAACACAATTATTCCAGTCTCCAGTGTCACATGATCCCTCAGAAACCATACTGATATGCGGATATGCTTAAGATTTCTATTTAGTATGATATGCTTAAGATTTCTATTTAAAAATGTATTCCAAAAACCTTTGCAATTTTGATCAACTAAATGCATCTTTGCTGAATAAAAGTATTATTATTTTTAAACGCATCATAGATCCAATAAATCTCACATGAGCTTCTTTGTAAAAAAAAAAAAAAATATATATATATATATATATATATATATATATATATATATATATATATATATATATATATATATGATTCTAATAATAAGTCAACACTCTGCTTCAGATGCCCATAAGATCCTGGCTGAAAGATGGCACGTCAGACTCATTCACGTGGTTGAGCACTATAGATGGCGGCTTTCAGGTATAGTGTTTGCTCAAATTCAGTAATATCTGCCATCATGTTTTTCCCCTTGAATAAATAAAAGTGCCTTTGTAGTTTGATTACACAGAGACCAGTGTGGTGCAAATGCGATTCCTCCGACTGAACAGCAGGATTGTAAAGCAGAACATCACATTTTCATGCCAGTCAAACAGCCACCAGGGCTTCAATGAAAGAGACATAAAGTTCCTCGCTGACTCGAGAAGACAGAGCTTCTTGGGAACGTTACTGGATTGTGAAGTAAGACATCTGTGGCCATATTATAACTATGGTGGCTGAGAAAGCTTAAGTTACGTTAAGAAAACATATTTAAATAGAAAAACACAAAACAGTTGAGGAAACATCAGTTTGATAACACACAAATTCTCCCAACACATGCAAATAAAGAAACACACTCTAAATAGTGCAGTCCATTACGGAAAAGTGACAAATCTGGCTGTGGTTGTTCTGCATGAGAGTAACTCTTGCTAACATGACATTTAATTTTTTTAATTTAACATTATTTGTGATATTCATCAAATTATTAGGGCTAAAACTGCACAAACAATCAGGAACTGTACAATCAAGCTGTTAAAAAATAAACAACACTTGATTTGTCACATTTTGGAGTACCCAGACATTTTTTTATGGTCTGCTGTATTTGCTAGTTCTGTGACAAATAATTGAGAAATGATTTTGCATCAATTCTGAAGCTTGCTGAATGCATTGCGACTCTCTTAAATTGATCCTGAGCTTTGTTTTCACCACCAGATGGCACTGTATGCTTTATAAACAACCATGCTCTGCTAATCCTACACATGCACTCACTGGCCACTTGTCCAACTGCTCATTTATGCAAATTTCTAATCAGCCAATCACATGGCAGCAACTCAGTGCCATTAGGCATTGTCAAGACGATCTACTGCAGTTTAAAGCGGGCATCAGAATAGGGAAAAAAGGTGGTTTAAGTGAGTTTGATTGTGACATGATCGTTGGTGCCAGACTGGCTGGTCTGAGTATTTCAGAAACTGCTGATCTACTGGGATTTTCATGCAAAACCATCTTTAGGGTTTACAGAGAATGGTCTGAAAAAGAGAAGACATCTGGCGCAAATGCCTTGTTGATTCCAATGGTCAGAGAAGAATGGCCAGACTGGTTGAAGCTCATAAAAAGGCAACTCGGATAACCAATTGTTACAACCGAGGTATGCAGAAGAGCATCTCTGAATGCACAACACATCCAATCTTGAGGCAGATGGGCTACAGCAGCAGAAGACCACACCGGGTGCAACTCCTATCAGCTAAGAACAGGAGATTGACTCTACAGTTTGCACAGGCTCACCAAAATTGGACAATATAAGACTGGAAATTGATTTCTGCTGTGACATTTAGATGGTAGAGTCAGAATTTGGAATCAACAATATGAAAGCATGGATCCATGCTGTCTTGTATCAATGGATCAGGCTGGTGGTGGTGGAGGTGTAATGGTGTGGGGGATATTTTCTTGGCACACTTTGGGCCCATAAGTACCAACTGACCATCGTGTTAATGCCACAGCCTACCTGAGTATTGTTGCAGACCATGTCCATCCTTCTAAAACCACAGGGTATCCATCTTCTGATACTTCCAGCAGTATAACGCGCAATGTCATAAAGCGCGAATCATCTCAGACTGGTTTCTTGAACATGACAATGAGTTCACTGTACTCAAATGGCCTCCACAGTCACCAGATCTCAATCCAATAGAGCACCTTTGGGATGTGGTGGAACGGGAGATTCACATCATGGATGTTTAGCCAGAAAATCTGCAGCAACTGCATGTTGTTATCATGTCAATATGAACCAACATCTCTGAGAAATATCTATGCCACAAAGGATTAAGGCAGCTCTGAAGGCAAAACGGGTCCAACCCGGTTCTAGTAAGGTGTACCTAATAAAGTGGCCGGTGAGTGTACAACTTGAGTGTAAAACAATGATTAATAAAGTTGATTTAATGAATATGTTTAAGCGAATTACAAGAGCGTTCATAGTGAGCTGTGTCTTCATTAATATTGTCATATAAAGCCGTGGTGCGAGTATATTTGACCACTTACAGCACAATTTTCCTGTTGTTTTTCTATATGCATTTGTTTTTTTTCTGTATTTGCATGTGTTGTCAAACTGATAAAAATGGTTTCTCTTTTTTATTGTGTGTTTTTGTATATGCATGTATTTTCTTAAAGGGCTAGTTCACCGAAAAAGGAAAATGCTCACAATTTACTCACCTCCAAGTGATTTTAAACCATCATCTATTTCTTTGTTGTTTGAATTAAATTTTTGGCGTGAACTATCCCATTAACTTGCAGCGTGTTTGAGCTCTCTCAGTCACTGTGTGTAACAGAGTCATCAGTTGTTGATTTGAATTACTGACATCCCCTTTCTGTGTGTGTTTAGCCTTCAGGGCCGCTGGATTCGGGCCCTCGGGAGTCTGTCTTTCAGTTTGAGACTGAAGACCTGGACCTTTTACCAATCAGAGATCTGGCTTTATTTGGCCACAGGGAAACGGCAGAAGAGTTTTGGTTTACTGTAGGAGACGTGTGCTTCAGCTAAAACACACACACACTCTCATTTGAGGACTGCTGGACTGAATGCTGAGCTCTAATCCAGTCACTCTGCTGACAAACGTAGAACAACAAGCTAAAAATCAGGACTTACCTTAATTTACTGGGGCCGGATTCATGACAGTAGTCTTAAAGGGAAAGATGACCCCTTCACTCAACTTTCTTTGGCTTATTCCCTGCTCTATCAGTGGTCGCCACAGAGGAATGAACCGTTACTTACTCTGGCATATGTTTTACCAGAGGATACCCTTCCTGCCACAACCCAGTGCTGGGAAAGACCCATAAACTCTCTCATTTAAACACTCATACACTATGGCCAATTTTTTAAATCTAATTCACTGAGTAAAAAATATCTGTTAATTAACCAGCACTGTATTTTGTGATTCACAAGTGTTTTACAGTTATGAGTTGCATTATTGGACTTTGATCTCTGCTCTGTCGACTTTTGATGTTGAAAATTCAACTCTACAGTTTAACAAAGTGACTTATTGACATTTAAATAGTTTGAAATGATATAATGTATAAGAAATAATATATATATATATATATATATATATATATATATATATATATATATATATATATATATATATATATATATAGTATAAGTCTGTTAAATAGCAGAAAATGTGCTGGCAGATAGTTTATTACAATGTTTTTGTACTGTAATATACTATGCCAACCCACACAATAGATCACTTTAAACTAATAAAAATGTTCATAAAAGGCATTTTATCGAACTTATTAGGGTTAAACCTTGTTGGAAGTACGATCAAGGTCCCATAATGCAATTCAAAAGCCTAAATAAAATAAAAATAATAAAACATGAATCAGAAAATACAGAAAACTGCTAATTTATGAATATTTTTTACAGTGCACCTATACTGCATTTCTTTTGACTGTGTGGAAACAGAAGCGGGATAGATGACCCAAACAATTCTGTCAGCATTTACTCGCTCTCAAATTGTTCCTACATTTACTCACTCTCAAGTTGTTCCTAACTGGTTTGAATTTTGTTCTTCTGCAAATCACAAAAGAAGATGACGTTGCATTACCTCGAAGACTTCCATTATACTGAAACATGTTATGAAAATCAGTCTATAGCAACTGTGTGTTTGCTAACATTCTTCAAATTATTTTCTTATGTGTTCAACAGAAGTATTAAGCCTTATTCCTTTCATTATCAGGGCTCACCACAGCAGAATAAGATAAATGAAAGTGAGTGGGTGGGAGTATAATATAAGAAATTATCCAGAAAAGTCATGATTGCAAAGTTTCTTTATTCTGTATCATTCATTTAAGTAATTTTTGTGACTTCAAATTTTGTAAGAAAGGATGATCATACAGTAAGTAAGAGATGATGCTCATCTAATCGCTTCTCTGAGATATAAAGCCTGACAGGCACATCATCAGACGGGTGAGAAAAATCACAACCCTATTTTTTTTTTTTACTTTTCAGTCAACTATTCTTTTTTTTTTTTTTTTTTTTTTTGCGAATACAAAACAAATGCAGCTGTTTAATTGACTTCTTCCCGAGAAAGTTTCATGAATCCGGCCACTGTTCTCTATCTGCTGTGGGAATGGAGATCCCTAATGAAGTTTTCTCCTTCGGTTTACTGTGTACCTTTACAAACTGATTTGTTGTCTGTTCATTTGCAACAGTAATCCGGTGCACAGCTTCTCATAGGGAGTTGTAATGTATTGTTGTAAATTGTTTACAATGCTTGTTTTCTGTTAAATAACTGATTATTTATATGATGTCATCATGTTACTCCTCATTTTAGGAAGTGATTCTCATCAAAACCATCCTCAACAACCTATTTAATTTAAGTTTTGTTTATTTTTGTTCATTTGTTTTTTTCAGGTTTTTGCACCTTATGACAAAGAGAGCTTTGATATACAATGTTTGCTATCATCTTAACACTACTCTTTACAGTGCATTCTTGATGGGCATTTAATTTCAATACTAGTGTCATAAATGGGCATTTTGTTCCAATACTATATCAGATTTAGTTCTTCTCGGAAAGCCTTTAAATATGGATGCAGAAATGTTTTGTTGCATTCGGCCATGTGATATATGTGGCATCCAAATCTGATACTATAAAAACAATGTGCCTCAAGCTCATGTCAGGCACTGCTTGTGAAGATTTAATAACATGAATTAATTAGAGCTGTCAGACAGTTGCTGTAGAACCATTGTTTATGGCTGGAATTCAACACGTGTTAATTAGCTAATTATAATGACAGTTTATGAATAAAGCAGCATCAGTTTTTGTTCTTTTGTGCAAATTTAATAGGTCCCATTAAAATACAGTTACAAAACCGTTCAACTCATTGCAAAGTGTCTAATTTTTGTTCTGTTTTAATAATGAACTGATTTTATTCAAATGATTGTTGTTGAGTTTGCATAAAAATGTGTGATGACTATACCTTTAGTAAAAAAACAAAACAAAAGAAGCTAAAGTAAATCCTGGATGATTAGTGATCTTTCTAGTTCCTGTATTAATTTAATGCCTTTAGCATGACGTAAATCAACTGAAAGGAAACTGAGATTTTGATAAAGGTAGGTGTCTCTTAAAGAGATGGTTCAGCCAAAAAGGAAAATGCTGCCGTCATTTACTCACCCTTGACATGTTCCATGGTCCATAGTAAGAAAAACAAATAATATGGAAGTAAATAGTTACAGGTTTCCAACATTCTTCAAAGTATCTTCTTTTGTGTTCAATAAAAAAAAATCTAACTGGTTTGGAATAAGTCATAGGTGAGTAAATGATAGTAAAATTTACATTTTTGAGTGAATGACTCCTTTCATTTCTGTGGATTGCTCTGGCTCATACTGATTTATGCATGCATTTACTGTGTGTAACTTCAGGTAAAAATCCTGATAGAAAGGTTAGTAAACTGGTTGCTTTTTGAGTTAGTTGACTACTTTTACAAAGTGGGTAATTCTTAAAATTATTCAATTAAATATATTTGCACAATTATAAAACATTGTCAACTCAGATTTTACCGTGCATATAAACAAAATTTATTAAATATCAAAGTTAGATACACACCACTCATTTGTTTAATAAAAAATACAGTAAAATAGTATTATTGAAAATTTGCAATTTTTTAAAAGCTGTTTCTTCAGTGCATTTTTAAATATTTACAAAGTATTTTTGTTTGTCTTAACAAAGCTAAAATTCTGTCTCATTGCTCCAGTCTTCAATGTCACGTGATGCTTCATTCTGTTATGTGACCCTAAACCACAAAAGCAATATATCACATGGATCAAAAGTACTGATATTACTTACTTGCTAAAAAAACATTAGATTATTAATTAATATTCATTACAATTTTCAGTAAATGTTTTAGTATAACAAAACTCAACTTTTTATTAGTAAAGTACAATATTTGGACAGCTTTAAAGGCAATTTTCTCAATATTTTTTCTGAACTCTCTGATTCCTTATTTGTATAGTTGTATATTGGCCAAATATTGTCCCAACAAACCATAATGGAAGGCTTATTTATTGTGACGCATCAATCTCAATTTTGTGGTCCGGAGCTCAAGAAACATCACCAATTAACTGGCCCAACAAGAAAAAAAAATGACTATTGCATTTCTTAACTCCTAATGTCACTAGTCAACACTCAATGCATTTTTTTTCTACACATCTTATAATAAATGGTTGATATATATCGGTTTATGATAAAAGTACCAAACTTATTACATATACTATAAAAATCCAAAAATATGAAGTATAAGAGCAATTTGTTTAAAACATTTCTGAACACTAAATAATCTTAATTTTTTGAAGTGTGCCATAAAATATTTCAGATTCTCATTTAAACCTTACTAGTTTTTACCATAAAACTAAAAATCAAGTGTAGACGTGAAACAGGATAATGTTTGTTACATTTTTTTGTAAACCAACAATGCTGTGTGTGTTAACCATTACTTAAAACAGTCAAAATATGGTCAACCATCTGATGGAGCATCTGCTTAATGTTTATAGTTGTGAAAGTAATTCGATTCATTGATGCAAATAGTTTAAAAACAGCATTTATTTACAATGAAGAATGGGACTCTCCACTGACCTTTCCAGCGCAAAACGTTGTACAGTAAGTTAGAATCAACCCGTGGGCTTTTGGCATAAATAATTGATGGACACTAAAACAAAAAAGTTTGAACGTTTCGTGGCTCTCTGGCGCCCTCTGGAGGACAATATGCTAAAGCCACAAGTTGCTAACACGCCTCCTTACAGCTTACAGCTGGTGTCGTTAGTGTATTCGTCTCCAGGAAATCACTTGACACATCAGCTGAGAAAATGGCTGCAACATGCTCGGTTTGATTCTCCTGGCTTCTCAGATTTGTCGTCGGGAAAATCGCGCGTTATTCGGCACCGATGAAGAGTCGACTGAGGTTTTCGGGAGTGAGAGTGATCGCCGGTGATCTCTAGGCCCTTCAGTGATGCCTCGGACCGTCGTGAAACCCTGAGCCGATCAGAGCTCCGCTTCCCGCAGCTGGAGCGTCGATAAACTCCAGGAAAACAAGAGAGAGGTGAGTTTGCTGCTAGTGGCTGATATCTGCTCTTAATCCATGCGTAAACATGCTGTCTTGTAACTTCCTGTGAGCTTTATTGTTTTTTCTGATTTTTTTTTTCTATCGAACATGTATAATACTAAATTTGTGTTCTTTAAACAAAAGAATTATTTTTTCTACCCAGTTTTAAAGTTTTTAGTCGGTAACAAACTTGTCTAACAGCTACACTTCTGTATGTTGGAAACCGATAACTGAAGTACATTTTTTTTTTATTAAAACCTATTTATTTTCATGTTATTATTTCATTTTAATAAGGAATCCAAATCTTAATTTTGTTATCTGGCATTTGTTTTCTTAAATTTATCACGTTACGCGCGCTGATATGAAAACGAATGAATCGCTGAGTCGGTTCCTTTGAATGAATCATTATTTTAGATATTTAAATTCGTTACCTGTTTTCTGTTCATAAGATATAGCTAGATATTTAGTATAATGTACAGTTAGATCACTTGGTTGGGCAATATCCGTCAGTTGTTGTTAAGCTGACGGTCAGCTACAGTTTTAGACTTGCTCTTTGAAGAAAAAAAAAACGTTTAAATGATTCTATATTAATCGTAATGCATCATTATTTATTCACTTCGTCGATGTCTGTAACATGTTATCAGTACTGTCTGTGCCAGCTTGCTGCCTACGCATCGACTGTCAGCACTAGCTGTGTCTCAACACCTAGTGAACTGCCTACCTAGACAGCACTTTGGACATTAGAGTAAAAACAAACATGTTGTACAGGTAGACGGCACTCAAAGTGTTGAGACAGAGTTTGTTTTTTTTTCTGTCTGTACACAGAGACCAGGCCACTGAGTTTATGAACAGTCTGGAGAGAGAAAGGGAATCATGCTGCCATCAACAAGAAAGGATTTTGTATCTCTGACTCTCAGTGAAAGCGGCAGCTACAGTAACAGCAAGCAGTGGAGACGGCAGTCTTGCTGGAGGGTCAGTTTAATATTCCAGACTCATTTATTTACTTGCTTTATAGTATGACCTATGTTGCTTCAAAATGTGTTTGCACAAATGTGATTTTGCGGCGTTATTTTTATTTTCCAGAAATGGAAACAGCTGTCCAGATTGCAGCGCAGCCTGATTCTGCTTACGTTGATGCTGTTGCTGGTTTGTGGAATCGCCACATCTCCCACCCTCATAGGACACTGGAGAGGTGAGCAACCATTTAAAAAAATGGTTTTATTAGAATAATGCATGTAAATGGTCTGATATGACCATTCCTTTCTTCTATGTTATCGTTTATATTAAAGAAAAAACATTTTTGATTAGATGAAGACAGTTCTGTATCCAAGATTAAAATCAGTAGTTCATTATTATTATTATTATTGCCTACTTCTTAAACAGCCCTTTTCATGGAAGCATTTTTTTTTCCCAAAATGAGCTTGTTTGAAATGTTATAAGACTATGATCCAAACAAAGCAGCTGCTGGTAGATAAATCTCAACATTACACACTTTGACTTCAAGCAAAGAAGCATATGATAATTGGTTGGATAAACTTAAGACTATGTGCTTAATATCAGCTTTAACAATTTCCCTTTGTAGAAAATTAAACAGTGGGGTTACTTCTTTCTTGTGCACCAGATTTTTGTTGCACTACATTATAAAAATGTGCTGGTGTTCATATGGATGAAAGGATAAATCCAGCAGATTAGAGAGAGAAGTTTGTAGTTGTTGACAATATAGTACAAACACTCAAAAACTGACTTTTACTGCTTGTTTAAACTTCTTTTTTTAAATAAGTTAATACGATTAAATTCTTAACATTTTATTTGGAAGAACTTAATTGTTTTATGTTCAGTCCACTTAAAATTGTAAAAACAATTCAATTAACTTGATTTGTGTTGGTACCTCATTGTGTGGAACATGACATTTTTACAGTGAATGAAACATGCACAGATAAATTATTCACAATGAGATCAGTAGCATGCATTACAAAACTGATTTCATGATGACTAATGTCTCTATCAAGAATGGATTGTTGAGCTAATTTGAGCTACTTCCTCTGTGTTTGTGTGTCTTGGTTGATGTAGGAATGAATGGGGATGATGTAAAAAACTCATTTGTTGTTGACCTGAAAAATGAGTACAGGTCCATTCTTCCCGAGCCGCCCTCTGAGGTTAGTGTGACCCATTTGTTTCTTGCTTACTTTTTTTGATGGCCTCCTTTTATAAGTAACCTGATAACTCAAGGTTACAGACTTCGCTTTGTGCTGCTTTTTGCAGTTTGTGGCAGTAATGTCTGTTTTCCCTCCAAAAACAGAGAAAAGATTTCGATAGACGTGGAGCTTTTGGTTTGGAGAAACTTTTGCAAGGCAAAGTGAATGTTTCGGGTGTGTTGGGAGACCAAAATCATGGACTGGACCTCAAAAATGCAGATAAAGGATCTGAGGGACAAAAGCCTATAATTAGGTTTGTGTTTTAATGTCACCCTACAATGACGGCATGTGTAGGGTGACGATGATGATGAGCTTGAATTGTATCCACCCTTTTCCTACAACTCATGATGTTTTGCCTGGATTATTAGAGTAACTTTTGTTCAACTGTAAACAATAAGTGAACTGTTTAAATAATACAGGGTACAATAAGCTGTCATTATTCTGTCATTATTCATCCTGATTCAAGTCTTTCTGCAGCAGCTAGTTAAATATTTAGAATATTATTGTACTTTTTGGAATTTAAAGAGAAAATAATATGTGTGAAGAAAACACTGTGAACTAAAAATAGCTTTGGCCGCAGATATGCTTGTGAAACTAATGTCATGTTAAAATAGCAAGTGTGAATTTTCATGACATAATTAAAGCATGCTGTATTATTATAAATATTATTATTATTTTCTTTTATATATATTATTTATTAAATATTCATATTTAAAAAGTACAAAATAATACGTACCACAAATATCAATTATTTGTAATGCAATATTATTATTTTGGTTATATAGTACTATTTGATTATTAATAATAGATAAAATTTGACTATTTCTAATGCAATATTATAATTTGATTATATGATAAAATTGTATTATAAATTTTATATATATATAATTTGAATTTATATATATATATATATATATATATATGTATGTATGCATGTATGTATGTATGTATGTATGTATATATATATATATATATATATATATATATATATATATATATATATATATATAAATTGTTTATTTGTAATGCAATATTATAATTTGGTTATATGATAATATTTGATTATTAATTATATATAATTTGACTATTTGTTGTGCAATATTATAATTTGGTTATATGATACTATTTGATTATTAAAAAAAAAAAAAAAAAAAAAAAAATATATATATATATATATATATATATATATATATAAAATTTGTCTATTGTTAATTTAATTTTATAATTTGGTCTTATGACAATATTGGATTATTAATATATTTGTACTGCAATATTATAATTTATTCATGGTACTATTTGATTATTAATAGTATGTATATATAATTTGACTTTGTAATGCAATATTTTAATCTGGTTAAATGATAATATTTGATTATTAATAATAAATATAATTTGATTGCTTGTAATGTAATATCATAATTTGAATTAAAAATTAAACCCATAATTTGAAACATGGTAGTCTCGTGTGTAAAAAGGTGCATCAAGAAGGATTAGATATGTTAATAGATATTTATTGCTACTAATAATTAATATTATTAATATTTTTTGTTTCTCAATGTAGTTGGCGTGGAGCTGTGATCGAAGAAGAACAAGCCTCTGATACTGACACCAAAGACACAGAAAACCAAGGAGACCCAGCTTCATTAGCACTTGGTTTGTTATTTTAGCAGCTACGTTCTATTTATTTGATGTTGAACAGGAAGCGAGGCAGTTACTAAATCCATAAATACTTTCTAAATATAAACACGTTTATGCAGCTGATCTGTGAATTTGTTTGTTTCTTTTTCCGGATTTGCACTGAAGCAGCTGTTTCCTGTGTCTGTTTCTTTCAGCCGAGAGTAGACTGGAGGCTGTGAGAGAAGCTTTTAGACATGCCTGGAAAGGTTACAAGGACTTCGCTTGGGGTCACGATGAACTCAAACCAATCTCTAAATCATACGGAGAGTGGTTTGGACTTGGGCTGACCCTAATTGATGCTCTAGATACCATGTGGATCTTGGGTCTACAAGAAGGTAATTTAGCTTGCTTGAAAATGTACATTACAGAAACCCACACAGACCAAGTTTTTTTTTTTCATGTTCTGTAAGATCTGGTATGGAGATCAATTGATCAATCAATACGTCTTCTTTATATACTTTAAAGATTATCAGATTAAATTTGCAATGTAAGTAAATTGTCTACTGATGTTTGTAGAAAATGTATAATTAAAGGGCACCTATTGTTTACAATATTTTACCCATGCACCCCTGTTTACAAGATAAAACAAGTCTCTGATATTCCTAGAAAATTTAGGTGGCTGTCACTTTAAATTCAAATGAAATTGTGCTCTTTTCAAAAGAGGGCGGGGCTACAAACACGTGCATCACCATAGCAGCAGATTCAAAACAGGATTAAAATGACCTCTGAGAATAACTGAAAATGTCACAAAAAAGTGACCATTTACTTTAGCAGTTACAGTGAAAACTAATGGTGGACGACTGCTTCTCACTCAGGGCTGTTTATGTTAATGAGATAGAGACTGGCACTAATAGCCAAGTCAAATAGAACACACAAGACATGTCACTCGTATAGATTTGAATGGGGAAAAGTGTAACAGTCAATATGGTGAATGAAGCCCCGCCTTGTAGTATAGGAGCCAATCATCAATCGCTATAGGCTGACAATTCTCTGGGGGAGGAGATTTTGTGTGATTCGAACATTTACGAATAAAACTAAAGAGACAGTTGTTTAATTTTATTGGTGATTCCTAATAAGAAATTCAGTCGTAAGCTTGGCAAGCAATTTTGGAGAATTTGATGTTTCCTCATTCGAACAGAATGCTCGAGCATACTCCTTTTATCCTTGGATTTGTCCTATCCTTGCTAAATGAATAAATGTAGATATATTTTGTCGTCAAGAGTTTGCAGAGGCCAGGGAGTGGGTGGCCAAAGAGCTCTCTTTCGATAAGAATGTGGATGTTAATCTGTTCGAGAGCACCATTCGTATCCTGGGTGGCCTACTGAGTACCTACCATCTCACAGGAGACAACCTTTTCCTGGATAAAGCTGTGAGTAAGAAGAAGAGCATGTTGGAGAAAGTCTTCAAACCTCTCCTCCAGTTGATTTGATGTTGTTTTTAACTCCTGAATCATTTTTCAGAAAGAGATTGGCTTCAGACTGATGCCCGCCTTCAGCACTCCCTCCAAAATCCCCTATTCTGATGTGAATATTGGGAAGGGCACAGCTCATCCTCCGCGATGGACTTCAGACAGCACCGTAGCCGAGGTCACTAGCATTCAGCTGGAGTTCAGAGAGCTCAGCCGACTCACTGGAGACCCCAAATACAAGGTCAAACACAATTGGTGGTTTTTCTCCAATTCACATTTTTATTATTGAAGTTTAGTTTTTAGTTAGTTTTGTTGTTTCTTTGGTTTCTGTCTGTAGCTGGCTGTGATGGAGGTGATGAAGCAGGTGCACAAACTGGATGGAAAGCAAGATGGGCTTGTGCCGATGTTTATCAATACCAACAATGGACTGTTCACCCATCAGGGCATTTACACGCTAGGCGCCAGGGCTGACAGCTACTATGAGTATCTGCTTAAGCAGTGGATACAGGGAGGCAGAATCGAGCAGGAGTGAGTAGAGTCTCTGCGTATTTAGAGTTTGTAGTTTTTGTTGTGTAGTTTCTTATGTAAAAACTGTTAACACTAGTATTTTGCAAAGTGCATCTGTAACAGAATAGATAAAGAGAAATGTTCAAGTCAGGCCTTAAATTTACACTCGACAAGTCCCAAAAGCAAGTTGCAGTCTATATTGCTATTGTTATATATGAAATGTATATAAATGTGTATACACAATTGAAGTCAGCATTATTAGCCCTCCGGAATTATTAGCCCCCTTGTTTATTTTTTTTTTCTCACTATTTGGGTTTAATAGGGGGATTTCTTTCAACACCTTTCTAAACATAATAGTTTTAAAAACTAATTTCTAATAACTGATATATTTTATCTTTGCCATGATGACAGTAAATAATATTCGACTAGATATTTTTCAATAAACTTCTATACAGCTTAAAGTGACATTTAAAGGCTTAACTAGGTTAACTAGGCAGGTTAGGATAATTAGACAAGTTATTTATATATATATATCATTTGGTCATATTATATATCATAGTGTGTTGTTATTTTTAATATTAGTACTACTACTAATAATAATAAAAATGAAATAATATTATAAATATAATGTTGATAATCTGAATACATTTGAAAAAAATAACGATAAATGGAAAAAAAAAATATATATATATAAAAAATTATGTTTCCCTAGTTTTTGATTTTATAATTTATTTATTTTTTTTATTATCAGATATTTTTTATTTTATTAAATAGTTTTATTTTAATTGGTTATTTTCTATTAAGATGATGATGAAATCATACAGATTCATGGCCAGTTAAAAATGTGTATTTGGTAACTTTTTGATGTGACTTCACGTTTGCTGGAGTGGTAAATATTTTAATTTTAAGCCATAGTTTCAGCACACTTAGAAGTTATCTTGTCCAACTAAACTTGAAAACCCAAAATATATCATACTAATTTCTGTATATATAAAGAGAGAATTTAATTACAATTATATAAAATTTGTCTAATTTGACAATATATTTTTTTGCAAGACCTGGGGCCTCATGTATCAACGCTGCGTACGCACAAAAACTTTGCGTATGCCAGATTTCACGCTCAGAATCGCTTACATTTGGATTTACTAACGATGAAAGGAACGTGGGAATGTGTGTTGTTTCACGCCAGCTTCATGTCTGTTTTATCTAAAAGTGCTCTAAAAGTGCTCTAAAGTACTCTAAAAGACAAAGTGTCTTCTCAGCTGTACGAGACGGGTTCATCCGCATGTCTAGTATATAAGGTTTCCGTACTATACAGTTGACCATCCAAACATTAAAGCGCAATTTGCATCGATCGCCGGTTTTCCCAATGTAATCGGAGCTATCTATTGCACACATATTGCTATAAAGGCACCATCTGAGGACGAATTTGCATATGTGAATCAGAAACATTTCCATTCAATAAATATGCAAATAAAATATGATGCACAGACTTATTAATGATTCCTACTTGTCTTCCTCATGATGAAGAGTATATAGGCAAAATCTAATATGTAGCGGGGGAAAAAAAAAAGAATAAATTTATCAGTTGCTGGATTTGAATCGAGTTCATGCTCAAACGTGTCAAAACATGTCGCCATGCATTTAACGAGCTACGCCACTCAGACTGTTACAGACACAACAAAACTTTACACCTATAGATCTCACTATTTCTTTTTTAATCCACACAGTGCGATGTTCAGACCCAACTGTGTTAACCACATCAGCTAAACTCTCCCACTCTATTTTTTTTCTTTTGCTATTAATTCCGGAGGACAAACTTGCAAATAAAACCGTTTTTCTCTGGTCTACCTCCGAAAGCAGCACCTCCAATTCGCATTCTGTTCAAAGTTTCTCTTTTTGCTTGTTTTTGCCATTGCTTTTTTGTTGGGTTTTGCCAAAGTAGAGTCATTAGCATTTTCATACAGGGGAGGAGGCTGGGAGGGGTTTTGTGCTCGTGCATGTTGAGCTCTGTTTCACGTTCATTCAGATGTACATAGAATATGCGTGAGATTCGGCGTGCGCAGTGTTTCATACATCTGAATTTTTTTCTGCGTACGCACATTTACAGCTTTTTGCGTACGCAATGTTTTAGTATGATTTCCACGCAAGTCTTCGTACATGAGGCCCCTGGTTAATTTCAATTGATTGTTGTTAGTATTATTAATAATAATAAACCAGTCAGTCATAGTAGGAATTTAATTTTTTAGTTTAAATCATTTTGTCAATGAACATTTCCTGCTATATGAAGTTGTTATTATTTTATTTCATTGGTTTAACCAGGTTGTGCTAAACCTACACAGGCTTTCCAAGACTATGTGTTCCCAGGAATAGTTGAGAATGTTTTGCATAGTTTAGTGTTGCATGTTCAGTGATTTGTCTGTGCTTCCATGTATTCAGATTGCTGGAGGACTATCTGCAGGCTGTGGAAGGAGTGAAGAAGAACCTGCTGAAGAAATCGACACCTCTTGGCCTTACATTTGTAGGAGAGTTGTCCCATGGACACTTCAGTCCCAAAATGGTATGTCTGTTTTCAGAGAATAAAACCCCCTGCATTTAATCTGAGTCAAACACCTAATGTACCCCATCATCTCTCTCTTTCAGGACCATTTGGTATGTTTCCTGCCTGGCACGTTGGCACTGGGGGTGCATTACGGCCTTCCCGCTGATCATATGGAGCTTGCGAAACAGCTGATAGAGACCTGCTACCAGATGTATGCACAGATGGAGACCGGTCTGAGTCCAGAAATAGCCCATTTCAACATGCACGATGGTAGCACACAGGATGTAGATGTGAAGGTGAGCTTAGGAGGATATTTTAGGTGTGTTTACTCTCAGCTGATGTAGGTGAAATAAATCTCTTTGTAATCTTGTAATGTCTTATAGATTGCGGACCGCCACAATCTTCTGCGTCCAGAAACCGTGGAGAGCCTCTTCTACCTGTACAGATTGACCAGGGATAAGAAGTACCAGCAGTGGGGCTGGGAGATCCTGCAGAACTTTAACAAGTACACAAGGGTATGTGATGAAACCGCTCCGCTGTCGTCTTTTTTGTTTTTTAGTACATGCAAAATAGTTGGACAAGATGCTCTGTACTACATCCAAATTTACATGTGTTCCACTCTGATCAGTATTTCACATTCAAATAAGTGTGTAAGGAGTAGTAGTGTCTTGAAAATAGTTCGACCTTGGGTCGACCTTAGAAGCAAGGTGTTTGTAGTTTAGTAGTTAACAATGACCGTTATTCCTTTAACACTTTCAGCTTTCTTTAGTCCATAATGTTGCAGCTTACGCTTGAAAAAAGTGGTTGTGATGCCTTAAGTATTTTGTCTTGCTCAGGATTATTATTATTAATATTATTATAAATATTGTTAAACATGTTTTGCAAAGACATTTATAATGCAAATAAATACTGGTCATTTAAAATTTCTACTTAAATCTTGAATAAAATCTCTGTTTACAGAAATTGATTTGTTTTTAACGCTTATAAATGCGAATCTACATTTTAGAATGATTTCCGGAAGATGGTGAATATAAATGTGAATCCACATGTTAAAATGACCCTGAAGACTAAAGCAATGGCAATGCCATCCAGAACTGAATTTTAAAACGTTACAATAGAATGTGGGTATTTTAAATGTATTTTTTCCCTCAGACATTGGGCCCTATCATACATCCGGCGCAATGTGGCGCATGGCGCGACGCAAGTTATTTGCTAGTTTGCTAGAGTCGTTTTGACGTTTGCGCTCATATGTGCGCCCATAGGCTTTCTGGTCTAAAAAGGAAGGCATTCTGAGGCGCATTGCTGACGAGTTGCTATATTGAGAAACTATAATAGATTTGTCCATTGACCAAAACAAAGCCTGTCTAAAGTCCAGCGCAGAGTTGCGCCTCGCTTACACACTGCTTAATACACACAAGATGTAGAGCAATACACAAAAATCTTTACAAATGAAAAATAATTAATATATTAAAGATATATAGGATATAATAAGGATATATAAAGGATGATATATATATATATATATATATATATATATATATATATATATATATATATAAAGGATTAAAATATTACAAAACATTATTTTCTAGCCTACATAAATTTAAAAACTACTGCCTTCATGCCATCTTCATCTCGGGAGGCTTTTTCAGTTCATTTATAAAAATTTGCTTTTGTATAATGTTATCATTATTAGCAGTATTATTTATTATATCCTTATTTATATTTGTTTTATTAAAAACAAGCTTAGATTTGTCCACCTGTCCACTATATGGGGCACAGCATGTGTTTTAGGATATAACTCAGGTTTTTGAGCACACTTCGTTATTATTTTTCATTTAATCATTTGCTGGAAATTAGAACTGAATTTAGAAATAGTTTTGAAACAAATCTTTGCGCCTAACAAACGAAATTAATTATGTATAGTCTAATGGATATCTGCATACAAGGTTTCCCTGTCCATGAGAGCGAAAGTGAAAGTAGATTAAGAGATGCCTTATCTCTCATTCTTGCGCTGCAGATGCTCTGTTTAACTGTTTCCTTGCTAGTGAAATGCTCATTTTTTTCCACTTACACTAACTTTATGTCATGTAAATTGCAAATGCGCTTATGGCGCGACGCAACTGGGTCTTAAATGAAATGGGAGATAAGACTGATTGGTTTATTCTCAAAACACATCTATAGCTCATTAAGAAAATAAACTCAACCCCTTTAGATCATGTGCCACGGCGTAAAGTGAATTATTCTGTCCCTATATTAGCAAAGGTGGATTCTGACACGCCCTGAAAGCGTTTGCGCCCTGCTCTGCCTTTTGCGCATGGACCATCAAAATAGAGCCCTTAGTGTTTACTGTGCTTTTGATCAAACTAATGCAACTTTCTTTAAAAAAATAAAAAATAAACATTACTATATGTTCGAGGATGAATCTTATATTAAAATAAAGTTAAAGGTGCCATAGAATGAAAATCCTGATATACATAGGAGAGTTCAACGCATGGTAATGACATACTGTGAGTCTTAAACACTATTGTTTCCTCGTTCTCATGTAAATTCTGTCAGTTTAAAATCCAGGTGAAAACAGGCCAGTTGGAACAAAATACCCACTGTTACATTGCACTATGTACAGATTATTTCTATGCATGCTCCAGGCTGCATTTGAATGAAGCAACAAACATAGAGCTCATGTTGTTATAGTAAACATTTGAAAACTTAAATGTGTTTATGCGTGGTGTCATATCACTCAGCTCTTAATGTCATTTTTCTGAAGTGAAAAGTGCCAATAAACACTTCTGTCTTTAGAGAGCTTGATAGTAATTCATGCATCTGTTTTCATACATATTAAACACACAAAATACAATTGTAAATACATCCATTTATGTTGAATACAATTTAGCCTATTTTTCATCCACAACACAACTTGGGAACAATCTAGGTTAGATAAAGATGTAGGGCTGGGCGATTGATCGAAAAATAATCAAAATCGACATTTAGAACCAACTGTATAATCTATCTAAATTTTACCAGGTTGATTTTTATTTTTATTTTTAATTTTTTTTATTAATATTTCTACCACATGTGAACTGCTCTTTTAAGGCTGATTTATACTTTTGCGTTGTGTGCATGCATATGGTCTGGCGCAGTTTTTGCGTGGTCGCATACCCGTTACCTCTCAAAAATGTAACTACACATTGCGACGACGCATAACACAAGCTCTGTGATTGGTCGGTTTGGTAGTGTTGATAAGCGTGGTTGGCACAGAGAGCTGCGAGACCTTAGTAAGCCAGATGCAGCAAGTGTATACAAGTGTGGAATCCTGTGAAGGAGCTCCAAATGGAAACTTTTGTTTGGTGTTTACCCTATGATTAAAGTTGTCCCACGTCCTTCGGTTCCCGCCTCTAAATGAGCAAGTTTTAGCTTCTTGTAAATTAAGGTAGGGTTCAGAAAACACCAGCGAAGAAACTCGACACAGAGGAACATAAAAACTTCACTGCCTGCTAGCGTTTTCGTAAGTGTTATTGTAGTGCAACACAAACAGCATGCTGAAGCATAAATGCACAGCTACGTGCAAGGCAAGTGCCATGGGTCAATAAATAAATAATAAATAATCGTTCATTTATCGTAATCCAGTTACAATATTCAATTAATTCCAAATTTTGATTTTAGGCCAAATCACCCAGTCCTATAAAGATAGCTCACTCCTTAAAGCTTAAATAAACCTCTACACAAGATAAAAGGATTTATTTAACAATGAAACTACTCCGACACGTCAATTATCCCTGAAGCAATTTTTGCTTGATTCTGTGTACTTTGGATAAGGTATTCATAAAGATATACAAAATCATAAGTCCAGGGCACTTGAAAATGAGTGGAAAATTTAAAAAGCCTTTAAGTTACTATACTATAACTTTACTATTTCCATGTTAGCCACTTTTTAATTTTTCCACCTACTTTTCGAGTGCCTTCCTTGAACTCATGATTTTTTGTGTTAGGAATCTACTCAGTTTGCTCATTTAAATTTGTTCAAATTCAATGCTCCTTTTAAGTTTGAAAGTCGTTTTAAAATGTAATTATAAAATTTATAATGATTAATTTTAGAATTTAATTATTAAATTATAGACTTTTTTTAAAATTCTTTACAAATTTATTTTTGAAAACAACTTCTGCATTCACCATTGCAATTCATGAGTTAGGAAATGTGGAATCCCTGGCAAACCGAAAGCCGCATGTTGTGAGAAACAAAGAGGAGTGTTTTTCACACTGGCCTACAGCCAGACCTTGCTACAGCTTTCAGATATGTTAATACTTGACTTCTCATATTGGCCTTGGTTTATGTAAACATTGCCAGATCTGCTTACACTGTCTCTTTTCCACATTTCTGAACTTCACAATCAGCCTCAATACGTATGTCTGCACAGAACAGCTCACGTTTGTCTATCCTCACAGGTTCCAACCGGAGGTTACACATCAATAAACAACGTCCGTGACCCTTCCTACACCAGTCCTCGAGACAAGATGGAGAGCTTCTTCCTGGGGGAAACGCTCAAATACTTCTACCTGCTGTTTTCAGAAGACCCCACCCTTATCAGCTTAGACAAGTACGTGTTCAACACTGAGGCTCATCCTCTGCCTGTATGGCCACAAGCAGAGTGATGGAGCCACAACCAAACACACCTCTCTCAGGGCCGCAAAACACATTTAATATACAATCTGCCATCTTTTTTCTAAGCTTTGAACTCTTTTTGTAAAGACTCTCTGACTGGTCAAATAATTCCTAGAGCCATGACACAATTCTGTTTGTAGGTATGTCGATTCTAAGTGATCTGTGTTTCTATTAATAGAGTTTGTGATTCTTTTTTACTCTATTTATGCTTTTATAAAGCTGTCGATCAGCTGAAATGGTATGTGCAGTCTCTTAGCTCAAGCACACACAAAAAACTAAACAAACAAACGAAAAAAAACACGTTCATACTGTGAAATCTTACAGGGACTGCAAGCACTTTATGGTGTGTTTTGGGGGGCTAGTGTGGATGTGTATATTTATCTTTTTTTTTTTTTTTAATAAATGAGCTACTGTTTTTTTGTGATGGTTAAGGGAGACTTGATGGTTTAGACCTCTTTTTATAGCCTCTAAAGCTTTCCATTCGTTATTTCCTTGTTTTTCCATGTCATCACATATATGACCGTTTAGTATGTGTTATCACAGATCATTGCAGGGTGCGAATTACAGGGGGGTTTGGGAGGGTTCATCCCCCTAATTAAGGCTTGATCCCCCCTGAAGGATGTCAAAACAAGATGTATGGGATGGTCCCTTTGAATCTGAGAAAAAGTCCACTCTGATCTGTGTTTTAAATAATAACGTTAATTATATTAAAATGATAGATATCCATTTGAGCACCCCTATATTGGTTCATACTATTGCCAATCAGTCTATGCGAGGAAAAAAGTCATTTAACGGTCTGAAACTGGCAGATTTAGTGCACAGATAGACACCGTAAAAGTTCACAAGACTGTTTTCTCATAAAATAGGTGTTTGTTTCCACATATTGCCTAAAAGTGAAGTCAAATTAGATGCATAGTTTCTATAGTTTGGCCTAAAGTAAGCCGAAATAGCTAATCTGGTCTGAAAACACTAAATAGCCTATCCCTAAAATGCATAAAATTGATCAGCTGAAGCATGTATTATACAAACTAACATTAGCGATAATGTTAGTTTGTATAATACTAACCCCCCCTCACCCAGATCATCATTGTATAATTCGCACACTGCATCGTTTGTATAATAATTTTATCTTGTGATAAAGTACGTTTTATTTATTGATTTGAAATATTTCGTTATAGTTTCGAGTCTACATCCCCAGCCTTGCTTTGAAGGATTTTAGCGCCGTTCCTGTGAATAGCAGAAATGTACATTTTTGTTCTGTTGATTAAAGGGTTAATTATTTTCGATATTTCCTTTTGGAAGTTAAAAGTTGCTAGCAGGTGTTGAACTAAATGGACTATTATAATTAAAGATTTTATTCACTTTTCTTTTTGTGGTAGATCTAAGTATTTGAATGGAGCGTTAATCAAGCACAATGTTTGTTTCTTTACTTCTAAATAAGGGTCTATAATACGGCACATGTTCTTATCTTGCTCTTTCAGGGGACCTACATCAGATTGACTGTGTCAGTAGTATTTTCACAAGGTCTTACAGCATATATAATGAGCTTTAGATATGTTATTGGTTGAATACTTTGTGAAATAATTGAAATCTTTTTTTTAGAGTCTAGAACTTCAAAAATCCAAATGTTTTCTTACTGGAATGTTTTCAAGCTATTCATTATATATATGCTGCTGATTGTGGATCAGTTTGTAATTCAGTAGTATAGAATGTCTTACGATTGCTTTTTGGTCAAACTTTACAATAAGGTTCCATTTTGTTAATGTATCGTGAATTAAGCGTAAACAATACATGTACATTTTTATTATTAATAATGCACCATTTACTAATGTATTATTAAAAACAAGTTAAGTTGATTGGTATGAACAGATATGTACATCTATTCAGTTGATCTTGCAAAATAAAGCAGGCTGTTGTATAAGACTAAAAGGCATTATTTTGCAAAAACAACCACTTAAATGTACGTTATATTGTTTTAAACAGCTACTTGCCACAAAACGAAACAATTTAAAACAAAACATTAATCTGAGCTATACAAATTTACTAACTCTTTTATTAAATGTAAAGCTGACAGAAAGTAAAATGGCAGACCTACACTATCCTGTAGATAGTAGATAGTATCCGGACAGTGGCATGACCATTAGTGAATAAATTTGTATATGAATGTAATTCCTAACGATCATGATGATTTGAAGAACCCCAGATGAATCTGTGTTATTGGTTTCAGCGGTTGTTATCTGGGAATAACATACCTTGGTCAATCATGGCATTTCAATCCAGTATTTCAGAGAGCTGTGTAATGAGCAGGATCAAGTACACCCAGGAGGTTGTTATCTCAGAATAAAGCCCGACGGGCTAGTATAAGACTAATTGGGGCTTATATTCTGCAAAAAAAAAAAAAAAAAAAAAAACATCCAAGATGTACTTTATTGCACTTTTTACAGGGCTACTAGCCACAAAACTTAATAATTACACCCAAAACATTGTTCTGGGCTATAATAGTTTACTAATTCTTTAACTAAAGATAGGAGAAATGAAAACCACTGACGGACTATACAAGGGCTGTTCAATTAGTTTGCCATAGGGGCCAGTTCATGAAAAGAATCCCAAATGAGGGGCTGGAGAGATAGGACTTGCAATATGAGTGATGACACAACAGCATAAAAGAGCCCATATGTTGTATTTTTGCTCCTTAAGACACCCACGTTGGCTTTTTCTACATTAAAATGTTAATATATTGTATTTTAAAGCTAGATAATATCAGTACATTATACAATTGGCTTTTTTTTTTTTTTTTTTTTTTTTTTTTTTTTTACAAACATTTTCAAATGTTGTATTTCGAAGCAAAACAAAATTAGTGCATTGCTTAAGTAGGCTTCTTCTACAATCAGACAAATTCATATGTTATGTATTGAACTGCATAACAATTAGGGATGCAACAATTATAGATTTTGGTTTAACGATTATAGTCTGAAGAATAATCGTGGTTTCACGGTAATCACGTCTTATTTCAATTTCAGCATTATATTAGGTAAGTATTTAAATGAACAGTTTTTATCATCTGCGTTTTTAGCGATTTCGATCCGTGCCACGGAAAACGGAGAAGCCTTTTATGAATAATTAACCATGATGAATTTAAGCTCGGATAATAGTGAAATCGGCTAATCATTGCATTTGTGCATTGAACAATAGGCCTTTTCTAAAAACATATCCAAATGTTTTCGGCTGCTCACGCCACTCGCTTAATGTCAGGTGACTCACGCTCTGCGCAGCCTTCAACTGCAGCTCGTGCTGTATTGAACAGACGCATGTCACTTTATAACTATAGCTGCCTTTTTTGACTGAACTAAATTTATTTTTGATGTCTTGGTCACACTATTTGGAGGGCCGGAACAAATTGCCTCCGGGGCCAAGTTGGGCCCACAGGCCACCAATTGAATAGCCCTGGACTATACACTAACTTGCGCATTATTCAGCCATAAAATGGGGTCAACCTGTCAAAAACGCCAAGCTGGCAGAAATGAAACTGGCTGAATGTAGCATATACTAACCTAAGCATTATTCATTCACAACAAGGCGCCAAACAGTCAAAATCTGTGGCATGACAGACAGCAGATACATATGAATGTGAATGGACTGTAGGTATATGGATTGGAACGTATTCATTGATGTTAAATGTGATTCGAAGTTTCCGGATGACCCTCCGTTATTTAGAAGTTGTTATCTCAGAATAACATACCTTGGAATGTCTTGAATGACCCATCAGATAAATGACAATGAAAAACTTTTTTTTTTTTTTTTCAATTTACTAACATGAAAAAACAACAAAAATATTTATTCATCTTTGTTAATGTTAGTAAATACATTGACTAATGGAACTTTATTTTAAAGTGTTACCTGTTTTTTCTTTGAAGGGTTGCTACACATCGCAGCTGTATTATGTGTATTGTATATGAGAGCTGGTTTTGTTCAGGTAGTGTGCCGAAGTTTATCAAGGGCTGAGCATCGATGTTGTGCTGTGGTGAGCTGTTCTTTTCTGTTCCGCGTGTGCCTTTACACACAGAGCAATGACATATGGTGTCTATTTTCAATCCTGAGAATCACGTTTTTATGATGAAAAATGTATCTTTTACTCATCTCATTGCTCTTGTGAAGCTATTTCCAATGTTTTTGTGAATAAATACTTTTGTGAATATTTATGCAGTGCTGTTGAAGTGTTAAATTGACTTGCAGTCTACATGCCATTTCCGGGTTTGTGTATACCCTTATTGTGTGGTAAAAAATTAGGGATGGCTACTAGACTCAAGCAAGTTTATGTATGTCATATTTAAAATGAAGGGCTTTTCATGCCTCGCTCTGTTTTTGTGCAAATGTCTCATGATCATCTGCTTATTGACAAATGAATCATCTTTGAATCATTATGATCATTTTGAATCGTTCATACACCAAATACGTGCCAAGAATTTTAAATAATCTAAAAAGGATAATACAAATAATGTGTTATAGTTGTAAATACTCTTTTTAATGACACATTAACTCAACTGGCAATGTGCAAATGATGATTTAGACTTGAGAGTGAGGTTGTACATAATGTTTTTGTTTTGTTTGACATTCATTTTGTTTCCATTTCAGTGGAAAATAAATGGATTTATTTGATATTTCACAAGTTTACAAATGTTGAAATAAATTGTATATAAAACTTCATCTTAAAATGGCTCCTTTCTTGCTGTCTTCACCCATTGAGCAATGATTTCAGCTTCTTTCTTGCGAGCCACAATCACAGACTCTGGATCAGCAGGATTGGACTCCCTGGGAAGAAGGAAGTTTAAAAAAGAAAGCACAGTCAAATGTCAAACACAAATACAGCATTTCCTACACCAAGTGACACACTGAAGCGAGCACACTCGTGGCTGTCATATTGACTACAGCCTTTATCCCTTCAAAAGCTCTCAGTGTAAACCCTTTGAAGGGATTATGGTATGAAAATGGGACACTTTCTTAATCTTTCAGTTCTACACACGCGTTCTTGAAAAGTGGCACCTTAAATCCAGATGATGAGCTCCCTCCGGTATGGTAATTGCAATCAGCGACGGACTGAGTGACTTCCTGATCTGCAGGTGAAAATACTTCATTGTACCATCATACCATCATTGTCTCACAGAGAAGCACAACAGATCCTTTGAAGGAACTATTGACATGCAGCTTTAGGTTCAAATGAAGAATTTTAAAAGTGAAAGTGCGTCTTACCCCTCCATTAGCCCAAGGATCAAGATCACCATTGGAGAAGATGATATTGCTTGCGGTGGAGAGATCTAGAGCAAAACATTTAAATGGATGCCAGATTTAGCTCCAGTTACACTGCAAACACCCAATGAATATGTAAAGGATCAAAGAAGAGTGGAACGTGTTGCATAATCATGAGGTAAAGCCTTTTCTTATGTTTTTTTAAAGTGACAAACCCAAACAGCTTGGCTGTGTTTCACTTGTTTTATATGTCCTTCCTTCTATCTTGATTTAGATGTTTATCATTGATTATACTTGAGATGATTGTTTTTTTTATGTTTTTCCCTGCAAATCTGTTTGATTCCATATGTCTATATGTGCACTTGTCATTTTATGTTTAAAAAAAGAAATATAGAGTTTAAAAGTGGGGGTAAATTGTATCAGATAGGTGCTGACATCACAGTTGTCTTGTATTTTGGTATAGGGAGAAGCCTGAAGTGTACATATAAATAGACTTGCTGCCTTGATCGAAATCAAGACATATAAACATTTTTGTTCTAATATTATTGAAGCGAGTAGGACGGACTGAGAGCAGTATGAGGTTGTTAACTACTGTCACCTGTGTGCGCCAACTGTCTCGGGTCTCACAAAGGAGCTCTTTGGAAGATGATTGAGGACACGGGGTCCGTTCTTCGTACCTCACTTAAATGATCTAAGATGATTTGGCACATCCTGAATCTTTTAATCTTAATAACTGATCTCTGGTTAATTTGATTCTTCAAACAAGTTCTTGAATCAGATTACGTCTGGATGATCTGATCTGCATGTGTTTTGAAGGGCAGATCTGTCGATCCTCGAAATCATGATCAGCAATGCAGCGTTTGGATGACGGCATTGCAGCGTAATGACATCATATGATTAATATTAAGTTATCCATGTGAGCAAAATTAGATAAATCTCGTACTTTATGGTTTGTTAAATATGATACGCAATAACTTTCCATCTTTTTTCTGGGCTGCAGGCTATAAACTTTTTTTATAGCTATTTTTTTTAGTTTTATGTTTTAGAGCGGATTTTCTTTATAGTAGCCTATAGGCATATTCAAGTTTCTTAATCGGCGTAAAGAATAACTGGCTATTTAAATTAATTTTACATTAAAAAAGCATTTTGATATCGGTAAAGGTGTCTGCAACTTTTGCGAAGCATCATATCACCAGCATATTATCTGTTAAAACGTGCATAACTGCACAAATTATTAAATTTAAAAGTCGAATATTGTGCTTGTCTATTATCATACACAAATTGTACAAAAGCTGGTACCTTAAATAGTATGTTTGTATTTAAAAAGTAACAATAAATATTCTTATTAAACCCCTTGGGGAGAACCACCCCATGTCTTTGTACTTTTATTTGGAGTGCAGATTGCATAAGATTTGTTTATTTAATTTTTAAAAATCAATTTTACAATTTTTCCTAGTGTATATAACTACTCTAAGTAAATATCAGCATTTGGTATGTACTGTTAGGATTACCTTAGCTTGAACTGACTCGATCTAATCCTGTTTATATGAAATAAGCCTGCTCCTGAGCAGGTTTGAACTACCAGAACTGTTGCTATGACAACAACTCTCAGATGAGTTTTGAAGAGCGAAACGATCCTGGATCATGTCAAATTGTCAATAATTAAATCGTAAGAAGAATGGACCCCAGGCTTGGAGTTTGTTTGATGTGCTTTCAGTTCGGCAGTTGTTTCTATGAGGGACTGCCAAAGCTTTCTTGTTTTGCGTTTATTTATTTATTTTTTTTGTTTATTTAATATCAATATTGAAAGTTTGTTGGTTCTTGTCCTTCTTCCTAATGCACCACTTGGCAATAGCCAAAACTACAATGTATGGGTCAAAACTGTGGATTTTTTCTTTTATGGCAATTTTTTTAGGTATATTAAGTAAAGATCATGTTCCATGAGGATATATTCTAAATGTCCTAATGTAAATAAATCAACTCAATGCTTGATTAGTAATATGCATTGCTAAGGACTTCATTTAGACTGCTAAAAAGGTGATTTTTCTACTATTTCAGATTTTCATATAGCTGTATGCCAAATACTGTCCTATCTTACCAGGGGATAGTTATTTTATTCACATCTTATATGGTTTTATGGTCCAGGGTGACGTATAAACACTACTCATCCACTTTCCAAAGCGGAACAAACTTGAAATGGCAGCAGGTTTCCTCTGAGGAGGCACTCAGGAAAGTTTGCTAGTGTGTGTGTCTAAAAGAAAAGTAAAGTATCCCAGCAGAGCTTACCATTGCCCCAGAACTGTGTCTTCAGCCACCCTGGCCGTGGCACAACTCCCCATCTGTTTGAGCAGTACTGCTCCCTCTGCTGCTCAGTGAACGGCATGGCCGGAAACATGTCTGTCACATTGTTGCTCTCAAAGCACATCTCGATCTCGGTGCAGGCCTAAAGCCGAAGACAAAACGATAAGCCCTCCTGTGACATTTTCTTTTCTTCCAACTTAAATAGCTTTTTTTAAATACTAAATACTGGTATCTTGCAAAATAACTAGTAAAATAATTTGTGCTGTCATCATGGCAAAGACAGAAGTGATGAGCTATTAGAAATGAATTATTTGTACACCTCTTTTCGAAAACTATTCTTAAATAATGCAATATGAATTTTCTAAATGTAGTAATGCAGGAATTCATCCTAAAGGTTTTTAACTAGCTTCTTTAATAATTATCTTTCAAAAGTTTTATTATATTTATTTTTTGGTTAAATGTTGACAGATGTTGTTGTTTACAAAAGATTTTTTATTCATTCTGCTACATTTAAACAATCGGCAGCCTTGTTTTTTAAAAGCTTTTACGCATCTTAAAGGAAAAGGCTATAAAGTGGATAAAAGGAACTTCAGAAGTTCTTTTCTTTTCTTTTCTTGCTGTCAGAACTTGTAGTATTGTTGTGTTTGTACTTGTGCTATTGCTCAACTATCTTCTTGTAAAGTTGTGATGTAATTGAATGCTGTTTTCAGGTCAAAGCCTTGACTTGTTTAAAATGACAATGCACTCTCGCTCATTTATATCCATCAATAAATTAGCCATTTCAAACATTTAGGCTAATATAAAACTACAGTCTGCATGTGAGCTCACAGCTTCCCAGACACCAGTATTTTAATGTTTCATAAAAGACGACCCCCTGCCTGGTCATCTGAGAATTCAATTTTAAGATGATGATTATGAGTGGACAGTATTAGTACAGCTCACTGTAACAGGATATTAGCACTCTCGTGTTTTTTTATAAGTTTTCATGCCATTTAATAGAGCATTTGAACCTGAAAATTATGACGTACGTTAGTTAGTTAGAAGCTTTATTATTCCCCTTGGCGCAATTCATTCTGACATGGTGGTGCTTCACATAAAACAAGAATGACACGCTTAACGCCATAAACACCAACAATTAACATCAAGTACACAAATAACTGAAACAAAAATAATCTATAACAGTAATATTTTTTATAAAAAATTAAATAATAATAATGAATAATAATAATAATCCATTGATTAACTACATTTATTACGGTACTGCGGACCTGCTTAAGGCACAAAAGTAATTGGATAACGAATACACTTGACTAGCAGCTAGTAACAAGCATTCTAATGGGCTAAAAACTTAGTGGCTATGGCAGTGCAGTCATGTGACTTACATTTGTCTGTTTAATTCAGGTAATCATTAAAGTCTGCATGAACGGGAAGCTGCAACCATTTTATTTTTATATTGTGATGAAGTTCCTAGATAAACAAAATATTAAATGAGAAAACAGTGGGCGAGGCTTGTTTTTTTTCCACTGAGAGCTGATTGGATGTAGTAAAGTAGGCATTTCATTTAGAAAGATCAGGAAAAGAGTTTCGGGAGAGTTATTACAACCTAACAGACACTTCCTTTTCACACCATTTGTTTGTTGTCATAGAGATGCCAAAACTGAGTGTCGAAGGGGTGTGGTTAAATGTAAATCACGCTCAATGCCTCAGACAGACAAGATAACAGGGGCTAATGATTTTTCTTTTCTTAATGACATGCACAAATGAACTATTCATCACAAAACTAGCAATGTGAGCTCACAGTATCAATATGTAAGTTTTGATATCATGTTAGACAGGGGTGTCCAAACTCTGTCCTGGAGGGCCGCTGTCCTGCATAGTTCAGGTGTGTTTGATTTGGGGTTGGACACCGGCCCTCCAGAACCGAGTTTGGACACCACTGATGTAAGAGCTTCAAAATTCATTAAAATGTGTCTGTGAAAATTTCAAGACTTGAGATCTTCTTTGTTTTGGTTTTGTGATTCATGAATAAAATAAGAACTGTGCTAAACAATCATTTAAATAATTGAGTTCTTAGAAAATAATTCAGCATTCTCTCCTGCAATGTTAATTACACACGCCTGTGCTAAACAAGCTCATTTTGAAGCAGTTATGTTTTAAGAAATGTACAAATATAATGTAACAAAGTCTATAATTCATCCTCTGATTGTGTGATGTCAATTGTAGCACGAATATTACTTGCGGCAAGCAGCAAAAACTGATATTGAGGGTTTAGTGGAAAGCAATTTGGTTACCTGATAATCCCATGCATAGCTGTTAAAGCCCAGGCCACAGCCGGTGGGGTCAGCGCACTCCACATAGAGACTGTAGAGGTCATAACATGTCAGCTCTCCGGTGTTATTATACACAATGCCTGTGGGAGAACACAAAATGAATAGTAAAGATAGATGTGGACCAGAGAGGTTGCTAAGGTGTCGTTAAGGTGTTGCTAGGCAGTTGTTAGGGGGTTCTTATCGGTTGCTAGGGGGTTGCTAAAGTGTTGCTTTGGTGTTCTAGGTGGTTGCTTGGCAATTGCTAGTGTGTTCTGAGTGGTGGCTAGGAAGTTACTAAGGTGTTTGCTAAGCAGTTGTTATGGGGTTCTAAGTGGTTGCTAAGGTGTCGCTAGGATGTTCAGAGTGGTCGCTACGCGGTTGCTATGGATTCTAAGAGGTTGCTAAGGTGTTGGTGGGGTTTTCTGGGTGGTTGCTAGGTGGTGCTAGGTGATTGCTAGGATGTTCTGAGTGGTTGCTAGGTGGTTGCAAAGGTGTTACTAGGTGGTTGCTAAGGTGTAACTTGGTGGTTGCTATGGTGTTCTAGGTACTTGCTAAGGTGTTGCTAGGCAGTTGCTTTGGTGTTGAGTGGTTGCTAAGGTGTTGCTAAGGTGTTGCTAGGCAGTTGTTAGGGGGTTCTGATTGGTTGCTAGGGGGTTGCTAAAGTGTTGCTTTGGTGTTTTAGGTGGTTGCTAAGGTGTTGCTAGGTGGTTGCTAGGCAATTGCTAGTGTGTTCTGAGTGGTTGCTAGGAGGTTTCTAAGGTGTCGCTAGGTAGTTGCTAAGGTGTTCTGAATGGTTGCTAAGGCATTGCTACGTGGTCGCTCTAGTGTTTTGCTTGGCGGTTGCTAAGGTGTTGTTAGGTCGTTCCTAAGGTATTGCTAGGTGATTGCTAAGGTGTTCTGAGGGGTTGCTAAGGTATTGCTATGTGGTTGCTAAGGTGTTGCTAGGCGGTTGCAAGGGTGTTCTGAGTGGTTGCCAGGCGATTGCTAAGGTGTTGTTAGGTGTTCTGAGTGGTTGCAAAGGCATTGCTAGGCAGTTGCTATGGTGTTCTAGGTGGTTGCTAAGGTGTTAGGAGGTTGCTAGTGTGTTCTGGGTGGTTGCTAGGCAGTTGCTAAGACGTTGCTAGGATGTTCTGATTGGTTACTAAGGTTACTAAGGTGTTGATAGCTGATAGGCTGGCGCATGCTCGAGTGACGTCACTGGCGTCACTGTCTCCGTTCGGTCACACACTGTGTGCTTGAAGTTTGGACTTGCTATTTACTCGCAATTTAAATCTTAATCATTAAATTCTTCCTCATTCGCTAAGTATTTGTCTCTCCTACTTAGGGTGACCAAACCCTTAATACATTTATACAAACAAAGCTGCTTTAAAAACGGTCTGTCCCTCGAGCATCCGCCTGTTGTTTGTAGCTTTAGCCTGCTAGCGCCGCTGGTCAGCTAAAGCTACCGACCTCTTTAACCATACACTTTTGACTTACTGGCTTTGCTCTTTACCCCGTAAAATGTCGCTTCCGTCTCTGTCCTTGTGTGCAGGAGAAGCATCGATGGAGGCGCTGGAGCTGGAGCTGGAAGAAGTGGAGTCCCAGATCCGCGCGCTGGTGGTAAGACGGTCGCGGCTACGGGAACGGCTTCTAGCCGTACCTAATGCTAAGGCCGTCTCATCACCTAAGGTACGTGGAAATTACAACCACATCATTCCCTCTACCTCAACCCCGCGTCCTTCTCTGTCCAGGCCCAGCGCACCCGGGGCGCGGCTCAGCCAGGCGTCGTTCACGCCGACACCCGGCTACCACGGCGCCTGGGTGCAGCCGCGCAAGGTGCTTCCCAGATCCCGGGGCAGAACGTCTCCGCCTGTGTTCGAGATCTCCACGGAGAACCGCTTCTCCCCTCTCCGCGAGTCGGGTCCCGATGTGGCTATCATCGGTGACTCGATCGTTCGTCACGTCCGTGCCGCCTCCTCAAAAGGTAATAAAGTACGTACTTTCTGCTTTCCTGGTGCCCGTGTGAAAAATATTTCTACACAGATTCCAACCATCCTGGGCGCTGCCGAGAGCCCTGGTGCCGTTGTCCTCCACGTGGGGACAAACGACACCGGGCTCCGGCAGTCGGAGATCCTGAAGAAGGACTTCAGGAGCCTGATCGAGACGGTTCGACGCACCTCGCCCGCCACGCAGATCATCGTTTCTGGGCCGCTTCCTACCTACCGCCGAGGAAATGAAAGGTTCAGTAGACTTTTAGCTTTGAATGAATGGCTAATAACATGGTGTAAAGAACAGAAATTGCTCTTTGCTAATAACTGGAATCTTTTCTGGGAGCGTCCTAGGCTCTTCCGTCCTGACGGCCTGCACCCCAGTCGAGCCGGAGCTGAACTCCTGTCGGACAACATCTCCAGACTACTTCGCACCATCTGACTAGCAGGTAAAAATTCACAAAATTCACACTATAGCCACCTAGACTCTTGTTCACCCCACTTAAACATCAGTAACGCATATCTGGCGAATCCTATAGAGACTGTGTCTGTTCCTCGTATTATTAGATTAAGAAATAAACGTACTGTGTGCTCCAGGAAAAATCTAGTAAGAATCAAACCAGAAAAACCAGTAGAAAGTGAAAATACAAATTTCGTAAAACTTGGTCTCCTAAACATCAGGTCACTTGCACCTAAAGCACTTATCATTAATGAAATAATAACAGAAAACAATCTTAATGCACTCTGTCTCACTGAAACCTGGCTGAAACAAAATGACTATATTAGCTTAAATGAAGCAACTCCTCCAGGATTCTTATATAAACATGAGGCTCGTCAAACGGGTCGTGGTGGTGGAGTTGCATCAATCTTTAGTGATTTCCTTAATATTAAACAGAGAAACGGACTTATGTTTAGCTCCTTTGAAGTATTATCGCTTAATGTTCAGCTTCCAGATACTATACAAAAACCTATGTTATCTCTCGCTTTAATCACCATATATAGACCCCCAGGACCCTATGTCAAATTTCTAAAAGAATTTTCTGATTTTATTTCTGACTTACTAGTCAAAACTGATAAAATGCTAATTGTAGGTGACTTTAACATCCACATAGATGACGCTAATGATACATTAGGGCTCGCGTTTATGGATTTAATACACTCACTTGGGATAAAGCAAAACGTTGTGGGTCCAACCCATCGCTTAAAGCATACATTAGATCTAATTCTGTCTTATGGAATCGAGGTTATTGACGTAGACATTATACCACAAAGTGCTGATATTACAGATCACTACCTCTTACTATATAAGCTATGTTTACCTGAAATCAGCAAACCCGCTCCAATACTCCGCCCTAGTAGAACTATTGTTCCGTCAACTAAAGATGAATTTATAAATAACTTACCTGATCTCTCTCTATTTCGTAATGCACCCGCAAACTCAAATGATCTTGATGTAGTAACCAGCAGTATGGATGCCATCTTTACTAGCACACTAAATACTGTGGCACCCATAAAATTAAAAAAGGCTAGAGAGATTAAAACTATACCATGGTATAATAGTCATACTCGTGCGCTCAAAACAGCAACCCGCGCCCTGGAACGTAAATGGAAAAAAACTAATTTAGAGGTCTTTAGAATTGCGTACAAAGACAGTATGTCCAGCTATAGGAGGGCTCTAAAATCTGCCAGGACCGAGCACCTGCGCAAACTGATAGAAAATAATCATAACAATCCTAGATTTTTATTTAACACCATCTCTAAATTAGCAAATAATCGGTCATCCTTGGAACAAACTACTCCACCGCAAATTAGTAGTGATGACTTCATGAATTTTTTCAGTAATAAAATAGAAGGCTTTAGACAGAAAATAGGAGATGCCAAACTTTCTGCACCGGCTTATACTCCAAATCCTGTAAATATTTCATTAAATCATAATAATAACCTACACTGCTTCAAAATCATAGAACATGAAGAGTTAGTGAAAATCATAAATAGCTCTAAACCAGCTACGTGTATGCTGGACTCAATTCCAACAAAATTACTGAAAGAGCTGCTACCTGCTATAGGAGAACCTCTTCTTAACATTATCAACTCTTCTTTATCTATAGGCCATGTTCCAAACTCTTACAAGCTAGCTGTTATTAAGCCTATTATTAAGAAACCGCAACTAGACACCAACAACTTAGCTAACTATAGGCCTATTTCAAATCTTCCATTTATGTCTAAAATACTAGAAAAAGTTGTTTCCACTCAATTATGCTCTTTTCTGCAGACGAACAATATTTTTGAAGTGTTTCAGTCAGGTTTCAGGGCTCACCACAGTACAGAAACCGCCTTAGTGAAAATAACCAACGATTTACTCTTAGCTGCTGACCGAGGGTGCGTCTCGCTATTAGTTTTACTCGATCTTAGTGCGGCATTTGATACCATTGACCACAATATCCTCATAAATCGCTTAAAGTCTACAGGTGTCCAGGGACCGGCTCTACAATGGTTTAAGTCATACTTAACTGACCGCTACCAGTTTGTAAATCTTAATGGACAGCCTTCACAAATCTGCCCAGTAAAGTATGGGGTGCCTCAAGGATCAGTTTTAGGCCCTTTACTGTTTACAATTTACATGCTACCTATGGGAGACATTATTAGAAGACATGGGATCAGCTTTCACTGCTATGCAGATGATACTCAATTATATATTTCCACTAAACCTGACGAGACGTCTGAACTTTCTAAACTAACTGAGTGTATCAAAGACATCAAAGACTGGATGACCAACAATTTTCTTCTCTTAAACTCAGACAAAACAGAATTATTACTTATTGGGCCTAAATCTTGCACACAGCAGATCTCGCAACTCAATTTACAATTAGAGGGATACAAAGTTAGCTTTAGCTCTACTATAAAAGATCTGGGTGTCATATTAGACAGCAATCTAACTTTTAAAAACCATATATCCCATGTCACAAAAACTGCCTTCTTTCATCTGAGAAATATCGCTAAATTACGAAATATGCTATCCATCTCAGATGCAGAAAAGCTAGTCCATGCTTTTATGACTTCGAGACTGGATTACTGTAATGCTCTATTTGCTGGCTGCCCAGCATCCTCTATTAACAAACTTCAATTAGTGCAAAATGCAGCAGCCAGAGTTCTGACCAGGTCTAGAAAATATGATCATATAAACCCAATTTTATCCTCCTTACACTGGCTGCCTGTTAAATTTCGTATTGAATTTAAAATATTACTTCTCACCTATAAAGCTCTAAATAATCTAGCTCCTGTTTATCTAACCAACCTTCTGTCTCGCTACGAACCAACTCGCTCCTTAAGATCTCAAAATTCAGGGCTTCTGGTAGTACCTAGAATAGCAAAATCAAGTAAAGGAGGTCGAGCCTTCTCTTTCATGGCTCCTACACTCTGGAATAGCCTTCCTGGTAATGTCCGAGGCTCAGACACACTCTCCCAGTTCAAAACTAGATTAAAGACCTATCTGTTTAGTAAAGCATACACTCAGTGCATCACCTAGCAGGTTCCACACTGGCTTCTACATCTTGCTTATATACACTATGAACAGCAGCTACGCTAATTATTCTCTTTATTCTCTATTTTCACCTGGGGATACTCATCCCGAGGTCCTCAGATTAGGCGGAGTCACTGATTGGATCCAAGACCAGCGACGTGATGATCCCAAGGATTCCATATCCGGGACCAGGCCATATCCTGAGCTGCTGCTGCGCTGATGGTCGTGGGGAGTGGAGAACATGAGTCTGATTCCAGCGACGCTCCAGGGACAGACGAGTCTTCATTGAGGCCATCTTCCAGCATAAACCACGGCGAATGAAGTTCTGCACAAGACTTTTGGCCAGCGGAGAAATTAAAATGGTCGTGCCCAACTGAGTCTGGTTCTCTCAAGGTTTTTTTTCTTCACTCCCATCAGGTGAAGTTTTTTTTCCCTCTCCGCTGTCGCCACTGCCTCGCATGGTTCAGGATTGGTAGAGCTACGCATCGATGAATTTGCTCTTCAGTGTTTGAACTCTCAGTAATGATTAAATCACACTGAACAGAGCTAAACTGAACTGAACTGAACTTAAACACTAAAACCTGAACCACACTGTTCCAATTACTATGACCATTTATGTGAAGCTGCTTTGACACAATCTACATTGTAAAAGCGCTATACAAATAAAGCTGAATTGAATTGAATTGTTCTAGGCAGTTGCTAAGGCCCTGCAAGGCTGTTGCTGGGGTGTTCTGAGTGGTTGCTAAGGTGTTGTTGGGAAGTTACTAAGGTGTTCGGTGTGGTTGCTATGCAGTTGCTAGCATAAATTTGCATGGTTCGAGTATGAATTAGCATTATGCTAGCATGTTTCTAACCTAAAGTTTCTAACCTAGTTTTTTATAGTGTAAGTCTATGGGACAGTAAGTGATAGCTAGGGTGTGGGTAGTAATCAGTGATTGGCAGATTGGTAGTCTGAGCAATGAGCATAGAATCACCAAGAGGCGAGACTCAAGTGCGATTTAGGAAACAGCCACTATATGGCGCTGCGGCCATTTTGAAAATGAAAACTCCAATAGTACAACAGCATATTATAAGTCTGTAAAATAAACTTTTAAAAGTGCTGATGATTGTAATAGTAAGTGCAGCCTTCTAGATAGTAAATCTCAGCCACAATGCGCTTTTTAAATAAATAAATAAAAAACAAAGCAGCTGCTTGCTATGGCGACAGCAATTAGATCCGATGGACGGCTGATCGCTTTTACTCCAAAATGGCGGAATCCAGGGCTGTTGCTGGGCGCTGCTGTTGCAATGGAACGTTCTATTGAGTGTCGCCTCTTGAGTGTCATTCTTAGCTCTTTGCTCTGAGTTAAATGAGCATAAACTTAAGTCTGTATGACAGTCTGGCAGAAAGTCATGAGGTCACAAAGTTTGGTCCAATGTTAAGTCAATGGAACCCGAGCAAGAGCCGTTTGGAGGTTTGGTGTTTGTTTGGTGGTTGTATTGTGTGGTATACACGGTCTAGGAGGAGATGCATATAGACATTAGTCTCAGAAGAAGAAGAATATGTTTATGTAGTATATAGTATGTTGGCTTTGTCAAGCCACTATAATAATAACTTGTGCATTGCCAGTGTTATTTACCAACAGTATCTCTGAGCGCAGACATTAGATCAGTGCCATTCAGCATAATTTCACACGCCACCTGTGAAAATAAAAAAGCAACACCGTTTGTTTTTCAAGACAAACAATCACATCAGCTCCATTCCAGCTGCAGGAATTGCTCTAGTAAGCATTTTTAAATGGAGCCAGATGGAGTGGATTAGTTTCAGTTGCTCTCGGCAAAAGGGAAACATTTGATTAACACCATTAGGTTTTCCATTACGTAATAAAGCTTTTATTTTTTCATGCTACACCCGTCCCAGTTGGTGATGGGGTTGGCTTGGAAATTTACAGTCTTAGTACCTTTACAGGAAAGGCTGGCATGCTGCCCATGAAATGAGTGCTGTAGGGATAATCCAACATGGCCATCATGGTGAAGGCGTTACGTAAGAATCCGTTCAGCTGATGAATGTCCTTTGGAGAGGAGGGAGTTTTACACAGAGAGAAAGCAGACTGGATGCGGATGTAGTCTATGTGGTGCAAACGTGAAAAATCGAGGAGGATTAAATTAGTTTTATGGAATTACATCGAGCACATATTGAGAGAAAAGCTGCTGGATACCTTTCTGTTGCGCCAAAGTGTTTAGCTTCTGGAAAGCTCCTTGCACTGCATTTCTGCAGGCAGGGTTGAACTTCTCAAAGTCCTGAACAAGCAAACAGATGTTTAAGTTACTCTAATGCAAACAATTGCTCGCTTTTATGCAGATAAAAGAGAGTTAAAGTGAAGCCTCTTACAGCAGTTACATCCTGGAAAAACTGTCGAGGGTCTCCGAGACCTGCGGTGGACAGAATGGGGGCGCTAGCGGCTAATGCTCCAGCCACAATATTGGGGTACCTGATTCTCATGTAGACACTCAGCATTCCTCCATAGCTAAAGAACACATTTAATAACATTAAGATTGCTATTTAATTAATACTTAGTTACATTTATTTCCTTATTTCATTTTTATTTTATCATTTAAAATAATTTAGTAAAAAAAGAGAATAATAATAATAATAAAAATAAAATAATAAAAATAATATTTATTATTATTATTATTATTATTGGGGTTTATAATAATAACAATAATAATTATTATTATTATAATTATTATAATTGTTGCTGTTTTTTATTATTATTATTATTGCTGTTATTGTTATCTATTAATATTATTATTATTATTATTATTATTATTATTATATAGTAGTAATAGTATTGTTGTTGTTGTTGTTGTTGTTGTTATTATTAGTAGTAGTAATATTATTATTAGTAGTAGTAGTAGTATTAAAACATTTACAATTTCTTTAGTTATAATATTTTCATATTAATATCATAAATAATATTATTAATGAAAAATATAATATTTTAAATAATAATAATAATAAAAATAGGATGGCTGGTTGACATAAGGATATTCATGGGTCAAATACAAAATTTCCAATACATTTATAATAAAAACAAAAAGCTGTTTGGCTGGTCAACTTAACATCTGCAAAAATAAATAAATAAATAAATAAATAAATAAATAAATAAATAAAATAACAAGGATAGTGGTAAAGTATAAAGATCTAAAATAAAAATAAAAATGTATTTTGGGGCAAAACTTTGATCCTTGAAGTCTTTTGTCATTCTAAATATGACTGACATGATTTTTATTTATTTTTATTCTGATGTGATTTTTATTATATTAAGTATATGAACTATTCTCACAATGCAAAGCCGTTTAACAGCTTAACAGTCTATAATTGTGATAAGAATGTATGACAGCGACAGTCAATAAACTTTTCCCCCTTTAAAAATTAAAAAAATAAATTACATGACAATTATTAATGTACAGAAAACAACATTTTAAGCTTCACTACAGTTCTATTTTTAGGATGCTTGAAAGCCCTGTTTTGTCTTTGACCCATATGTATCTATCAGAGTATACGTAAATCTAAAGATCACCTTCCACCAAAGACAATGACGGGACATGTTTGACCTCCCAGCTCCTCCTTCAGCTCTGTGATCATGACAGCATAGTCTGCGAGGGCCTGCTCCACCGTCAACAACCCCACCTCAGGGATTTTAAAAGAATTCTTCCCAAATGGAAGAGATTTCCCATAGTACCTCTAGAGATCAAAGCAAAGTTTTCAATTAGTGGACGTGATATACTTGACCATTTTTGTAAAACGTCTTTTATCTCTTTACAATGCTTTCTACATAAATGCAGTAATATTGTGAAATATTGCTACTATTCAAAATATAGTTTCTATTTTTATTTCATTTAGGTGTAATTAATTCACGAAAAAGCAAAGCTGAATTTTTAGTTTCATTACTCCAGTTTTCAGTGTCACAAGATCCTTCAGAAATGACTCTGATATGCTGAACTGATGCTCAAAAACATTATCAATTTTGAGAACGGGTGTAGTAAATAGTTTGTGGAAACTGTAGTAAATAATTCATCTTTGTTCTATTGTATTCTTTTTTACTTTTAAATTGTTTATAATATTTTATGCATGATTTCACTCCCCTATAGCAGGGGTTCCCAAACTTTTCAGCCTGCAACCCCTAAAATAACAATGCCAGTGATTCGTGACTCCTATATTCTTTGGAGATGGTCATAAATATTCAAACGTTGCACACACAATAATAGGCCTATATAAACGCAAGCATATTGACAACATAAAAAAGTGCAACAGCCTAACAACCATACGATTTATAGTCATTTATAAATTTGCTTAATATTAACCTTAGCTCTTGGCTGCAGTAGTGTAGTGGTTAGTGCGTCGACACATGTACTTCGGTGCTCACGGCAACCCGAGTTAAATTCCCAGCACACGGTCCTATGCCGATCCTTCCCCTCTCTCTGCTCCCCATGCTTTCCTGTCAATAATCTCTACTGTCCTATCCATTAAAGGTGAAAACACCGAAATTTTTTTTTTTTTTTAAATTTAACCTTCGCTGAAGAGACTGGTGGGCACAATGTTTTCAGCACAAGTCTATTCTTGGTTTAATTTTGCAGACCACCACTCAGATATCATTCTCAATGTTCAGTTGGGACCTGTATTTGAATGTACTTGATTGCCATAAAGGTGAAAGTTTAACCTGGTGCTATAAAATAAATCTGCTACAGCTGACGCTATTGCAGTGTTGCTAGTCTAACATAATAAACAATCCTATGAAAAAAAATCATTTAAAGGCTGAAGGCTTTTCATTGGCATGTTGTTGTTTTTTTACTATTAGAAACGACTATTTTTATCATCTGTGGGTTATGGTTAAAACGTGGTAATTCTAGTAGTTTAATAACATTTATTTGACTTTTGGAAATCACCAAGCGCCTCCTTCTCGTTTTCCCACAACCCCCACTTTGGGAACCACTGCCCTATGGAATAATCTCTATCAGTCTAAATCAATAACCTCTGTCCGAAAAGAGCTTTTCAAGCTATCTGGTCAAACTGTATTTATATCGCAGCAAAACAAAATATCACAATGCCACATTTTTCCAATATTGATATATAACTGTTGTATATCAACTATTAACAATGGCTTTTATTATGTTTTCCAGCTTGGACATGAAGGGATATATTTACATTTTAAAATACATAAAAACTGTGATGTTTTTCAATCTTAACAAACTTTCACAATACGTCTTTGCATCAAATTCATCTATGAAATTGATACCTAAAAGACTTCTTTCATCTTATTTTATTTCCAAGCTTCCTGACAAGTATTGCGTATCATGAGTCTACATATCCACTTCATTACTTCCTCCATAGTCATATGATTCACGACAGTTTCGGGAAACTTACATGTTCAGCAAATATGAGCAGGGCTCCCTGCGCTGCTGCCAGCTCTACCATGAAGCCCGAATTACGTGCAAACTCACTTATGTCCCCCTCATTGCCCGTGTAGAAGAAAATGGGTCCATAGCCTTTCTTCCAGTACTTATCTGAAACATACAGTGCACTCAGTAAAGATTTAGTTTAAAAATTATGACAAATTCAGGTAGACTTATAAGGCATATTAGTTTACCTGTAATAAGGTAGCGTTGATCATATGTGCCATTGCCAAGACTGTTGTAATTGAAGTGGTCTAAAATCTGTTTGAAATACTTTTCCTTGAAATCCAGTGAAAGGTCTCTGTGAGATGTGATCTCATTGCTGTAGTTTTCCTTTTTAAAAACAGTGAAACGCATACACTTGATACACAAATACACTTCATTGAAGATGTGCACATAGACATCACCTATATACTGTATAACTGCAGGTTAACTATGTAACTTAAACCTTTAAAAGCTATTAGTTACTAGTTAATTAAAGTAATTTGTAACTAAGTATGGTAACTACTAACCTTAACTTTTCTGATTTTGATTATAATGCAATAATCTGCACCTTAAAGCTGCTTTTAAAACAAGAACTGTTATTATTAACTTTAACTGAATTGATTAAGACAGAATTAAATAATATTCGCAATAAAAAAGGGAATAAAAACAGTGACAGCCAAGAATAACAAGCTGTAAAACAAAACTGCAGCAGCTACTATTAACAAACTTTTATAATACACTAAACAAGGCAGAAGAACTCACCACAGGACGAGCCTCGGTTTTTCCACGGAGGAACAGCAGCGTTAACCCGAGAAAGAGCCACAGTGTAGCCATTCTCACAGAGACCCCATCGGTCAGATCAACACAGAAATACAGCAGAGCGTGATGAAATCTAAACAGGGACAATGACCGTCATGTGATCACATCAGCTGTCATGTGACTAATGTTTATAGACGTGCGTGCCGCCTTTAAACTTTACAAACAATCGCTTAACTCTCTTGGGTCAATAGGACGTGTTATTACACTGTTATAAAGTTAAACGTTTCTTGAGTAATGGGCTGAGAAGTTTCGCTGTTAACTGACACAACAGTTTTAGAGGGAAAGCCATGAGCCATTTCAAAGTAAAAGTCTTCGTGAAAAATAGGCAGCATAAAAGTTTATAAATAAATAAATAGTTTTTTTGCACTGTAACCTCACTGTTCACATACCAATTAGGAACAAAATCTAAATCATTGTCATCCAAAATACCAAAATATTTAGAATACCTAAAATAGAAAAAAAAAAACAGAATTACTCTGTTAACAAAATGTTTAAATAAAATGGTTAAAGGGTTCAAATAGAATTCTGATTTAAATATTGAAATGTTCGATACAACAGTAAAAGCTTTGCAAACACGCTAATAGATCAGACCATATAATTCTTTTAATTATTGTAATTATTTGGTTATATATTATTTTGGTCTTCTTCATAGTCCTCTATCCATCGAGTGACATTGTTTACATTTAAAAAAAAAAATCAGATTCATTTGCAACATTTAATTGAAACATTTAATTCAGTTTCCTTTTACTTAGCTCAGCAATAAATAAATAACCAAAGTTTGCCAAATTTAAGGTTACAACAGGCCGGCTTTGGCCCACGGGCCCTACTTTGGGCTTCTCTGATATAGAGGAACAAACCAGCGCCAAATTTATGTGTTCAAATTAACAGATAGATAAATAATTGGTAAACTAATAAATTGTATTTTCTTATTAAATTTAACACAAAAATGAATGAATTAGTCATGTTTTTTTTCTTCATTTTTTACATTGTGTTTATAAGCTTGTTTAAAGAGATTTACTGACAAACTTTCACTCTAAATACTTCTCCCTGTCCACCATTCCTACGTGCCGGTCAGAATGTGCCTAAATCCCCACATCAGATAAATAGCACAGTGACAGACATGAGGGAAGCAGATCTCGCGTAACGTTTGTGAGAAATACTACAGTAAGAACTTTACCAATGATTATTTGATGTATTTGTTGTGGAGTTAATTCAAGTCTTTTTGCAATAATGAGTCATAAACAATGTCATTACAAAGTTCACACTCACACACACACACACACACACACACACACACACACACACACACACACACACACACACACACACACACACAAAGCACATTTAACGCACGCGCGTGCATTTACCTTTGCACTGTTTTTGCACTGCAAATGTGACAGTATACACGTTAATATCCACTGCTTTATGGATATCAGTTGCATAAACCTAAATTAGTTGCATAAAGTTCCATAACCTAAAATAAACCTGATTTAACGTCCACAAACCAGAATTGAAGTATATCTTTTTTTGTAACTGTACTGACATGCAGCTTTGGTGTTTAATTACAGTGATTTTACTATGTTGAACTTGCTTTATTACTAACATGCTGTCTTAAAAATGTTTCAAACCTGCGAAGCCCATTCTTGATCAGATTTGATGATAATTGTTGATCACAAGATCATTTAATCCTGCTTCTGAATTTAATCCTGAATTTTGAACATTTTTCTTCATTCAAAAATATGTACAGTTGAAAAAACTACGTAAAAACAGTTTGTTAGTTGTATATTGCTATGCCTTGGTTTTATTATTTTTTGCTTAATTATTATTATTATTATTATTATTATTATTATTATGGTTTTACCACAACTGATTAGATTAACCACAACTGGAGCAGAAAGGATACGAAGGGCCTGGTGCACCTCACGTCGCCCTGATGACATAGCCCACATCCTCCATTTATATTTTATAGTACATCATCAAATGCTACAAACAGTGTTGGCGAGTGACTAACACCATGCTTGCAGTGAATAAACAGGACATCTTAGAAATAAAATAAGAAAGTAAGTCGACACAAAGTCCCAAAAAGTTTGTAAGTTTAAAAGGCTTTATAAAAACATTTTACTACAAGCAGTTCAGAGACAGAAAGACCAATAATGTCTTGGGCAGAATGAGCACATTTGAGCATATTTGTCAGAGCTGTAACAAAAACCATTTTGCCTAGCTATTGACACGAATTTCACAACACTTAGTCAACATGGTCTGACTATGATCCGAGTAAAATTTGGTGATATTACGGCAAACCGTCTTAGAGTTTGCAAATATATATATATATATATATATATATATATTTTTTTAACAAAATCAATGTGGCGGACAGGAACTTTACCCAAGTATATTTAGATAAAGATAAATTGACGGTAAATTTTGTGCAATCTTCTGAATCTTACAAGCCATACAAAAATTTACTTGGCAAAAGCCAGCCTTTCTCAGCTTACATTTGATATGAAAGAAAACCCGTTAAACACTGCATGCAGCTCAGCTTGCAACTGCTGCACTGTGTCTGCATCCAGACCGCTTAAATGGCTGCCGTTCATTAAAATTGGTCGGACATTACCATAAGGCTTGGCTAGACCTAGTTGAAAACGATGAAAATAAAGAATGCCAACACAGCGACATTAAAAGCTTGTGTTTTGCTTTGGGTTTAATTATGCAAGTATGACACGTCTTTAGGACTACAAAATTACTCAATAGATGCACTACAGATTTTGGCTGATGAAGCAACTTCTTCAACTCAGTTGGAGCTTTGAGGAGCCCTTGATGGTGTTTCTGTGGCGCCATCTGCCGTCCATATATTTGCTGGTAATATTTAACACCGATAATAGGCGTACATGTCAATCTCTAATACATCTTCACTTGTTGTATATAATATAAATGTATCCAACATATACAGTAGTATTAGCATAATAATTATATATGACGTCAACATAATTAACCATAATTTTCTTATAGCTTAGGATGTGTAATATTAATGTTTTTTTTTTTTTGTTTCATTGTTTTTTTTTTTTTGATATTGTCAATATCAGTGCACTGCAATTTTTGTGAGGTAATATATTCCACCAATAACATCATTAGTGAAGCAAAATGAATCAGATGGGGTTACCATAACCATGTTATTTTTATTTTTTGTTTGTTTTGTTTTTATTTGTAGTGTAATGGTTACTGTAATTCTTTGTCTGCGCTATACCAACGTTGACCATATTTCGACTGTTTTAAATAATGACTGTTAAAGTCATTTAAATATTGACTGTTTTAAGTAATGGTGTACACACACAGCATTGTTGGTTTACAAAAAAATCAAACAAACATAATCCTATTGCACTTTTTGCACAGTTGACTTTGGCTTTTGTAAACAACTAGAAAGTGTTAAATGAGAATCTGAAATATTTTATGGCATACTTCAAAAAAATTATGTTTTAAATAAATTGGTCTTACACTTAATATTTTCAGATTTTCATATATATGTATAAATTCTGGTACTTTTACCATAAACCGATGTATTAACCATTTGGGAGAGCCTGATATTTTAGAAATTATGGTATGTGTTGAAAAAGAATTAATTGAGTGTGTTAACTAACATAAGGGGTTAAGAAATGCAATCATTTTTTCCTTGGGGCAGTTAAATGGTTAAGTAATTGTGTTAATAAGTAAGTTTACTATGTTTTAACCTTTTTTCTTAAAAAAAAAAATAAAAAAAAAACTTTCTTTTAAAGGGATATTTCATCCAAAAAATTACAACATTTCTCATCATTCATTCAATCGTGGCATACCAAGTTACTACTTTCTGTTGAACAAAAAAAAAAAAAAAAAAATTATAAAAAGGCTGGAAACCACCAACTATTAACTTATGTTGTACAGTATAGTACGGTATACACAGCAAAATATGGGGACCCAAAACAACTCTATGGGTGTTAATTTCAACACTTTGAAAGTGTCTCATGGGGTCCACTCAAAACAGACTTAAATCAACACTTTAAAAAGGGTTGGCACATTGACACCGAAGTAAGGGTTAATTTTAACTCAGGGCAGAGTTAAAAAAATGTAACTATATTTAACACCGCCTGGTGTAATATATTATTTTATTCAACTCTCTTGAGTGTAAATATGGTAAAAAGGTCAAATAGACTGTAAATTCAAAAAACATTTTATTTGAAAACATTCACAACTTCAACAATTCATTCAATTTTTAAAATGCAACAATGTCAAATATGCTTTAAATGTTTTATTAGTACAGACAGTTTCAACAAAATATGATGTCCAAACTTGATGTTTCATCAGAGCAATTTGAAAGTTCAATATATCGTCACTCATAGTTTTCTTCTGAACGCATAGTTTTCTTCTGAAATTACATTTTAAACAACTTGGCGTGCAAATCTTTCACTTCGGGTGTTTCCTTGGTCCTCCATATCAAACACAGCAGTTTAAATGAAGGTATAAATGCTGTAAACTTGTGTGAAAACAAACTGGAGCTAGGAAATCTCATCAAGCATGTCCTGTGAATGAAGTGCTTCCCAGCCACAGGATGACCTTTTTATCCATGACGATGTAGCAGCTGCTGATCGCTCGTCTGGTGGTTCCTGATGCACGGATATACTGTAGGGTGATGCTCATCTAAGAACTCTTCAAGACTCCAGCATGACTAAGAAAAATGTTTGAAAACAAATTGCAATCAAATTCTATGATATATTTAAAAGAACATTTAAAGTAAATAAAACATTCAAGAAATCTAAACTCACCTTTTGAAAATCCACATGATGATCCACAACTTGACTCTCCCAGCTGGTTGAGGTGACATGATATGGAAAAGTAGAAAAAACACATACATCACTGTTGGATCTCCAAAAACAATTAGGTTAACCACTATGACTAGAACTGGAAAAACAGGCAGCTGTCTGTCCAGAATCCTGAATTTAACACAACACTTGGAGCAAAATTTAGAGGATCTTAAAATCTTTCATATCATTTAGTGATGCTGACTTCCCCAAAATATTGGCCACAGTTTAAAAAATATTCATAAACTTACAGTTTTCTGTAAGCGTGTGCGTGTGTGTGTGTGTGTGTTTCTTTACCAGAATCAACTTGTTAGGCCCTTTCAGGTCCAGTATTGACGCCACCTTTCCTGGAGTCTAGCAGATATTTCAGGTCCAAATATAATCTAAAATATTAGGATAAGCAGAAGAGGAAAAGTGCAAAGCAAAGAGCAAAACATTATTTAAGTA